TCCCACAAAGACGAGGTTAGAGCATTTATTGCGTATAACACTTGCGTATTGGATATAATTTGAAATTATAAGTCCAGATTTCCTCACGATGTTTTCCTTCACCGCCTGTCAATGGTGTCTAAATACTCTTAAAAAGTATATATAACTCAGAAAAAAATCACATTGGTACTTGAAAGGTTTCGAACTCGTACCCTTATACGAGTATATGAGAGACGGTCCTTAACCTCCAGGCCACCACGACTTTTTATATGTAAGTGTTTTATTATGAAAAAGTTATATTAATAATAATAATTCGAATTAACACGTTTTAATAGTCTTTATATAAACATCAACTCCTTTAAAGTATGTTTTAAAGATTTTTTTTTATATATACTGCAAAGTTGTGCAATACACAACATATTTATTATATAACACTTGTATGTAGTCTTGTTTTTGTAGTCTAAATATCTCGTAAATTAATTGTAGATGATTTAAACTAAAAAAAATAACAAATTAAAGCGAACACTCGGCGGTAACTGGTTTTTAATGACGTATTTTTTTAAATAATTTACATAGATTATGAATATGAATATAATTTTAAATTTATAATATATATTATTTACAACAAATATTATTTATGTTTGGCTTCCCCGAATCCATTTATATATTTTTAGATACCTTAATAAAAACTTGTATAATATGTAAATTAGTTCAAGAATCTTAAACCATTTTATCGACCTGTTTTAAGTATCTGTATTCGAATTATCTAAAATAATAATCTTTTAGATTTTCTGTCATCCGATAACCTTTTTCTTTTCCTTGAATTTATCTACATTAATATTCTTCACGATATTTTTAATCATTAAGCATAATTACTGTTCAATTTTAATGCTTTTAATCTAAAAAAGATGGATAAGTGGTTAAATGCACTACATATCTACTTGCTAAGTCCTTTATTGAATGAAGTTAGAGATTTTTTGTTTCTGTTTGATAACGACACATAAACACTTCAGATGTTATCACTCAAGCGTTACAGGATCTCAAGGATATTTTAACTATTAGAAAAAATATTATTTTATGTTACAGTTATAAACGTTTTAACGGGAAATAATATTTAAACATGTAATGGAAGGGTAACTGAGCAATGCTTTTTAAAAAAATATTATTTATTGCCTGTCTGTGTGTCTTCGTTATTTTTTAAAAACCAAAGAACGGTGAAGCTTTGTGAAAGTGTGCGTGGTAATTTTCATTCATGTAATCATTGAAGTTATTATTTTGAGTCATAAGAATTTAAACAGTCGTTTTAATTTGTATAAAAGAAAGTCTTATTGTAGGACAAATCATTAGAAAATATTACTCGTTTTTTAAATTCTTAACAGTTGTTAAGTATATTAAAATTCATCTAATTTTAGTATCTTAAAGCCAATAAGTAAAATAGTTCTCGAAATACTAAAAAAAGACTTCGAATAAAGCGCATGTTTCCTTAGAAGTCTTTTTGTATGCAAATACTTGTATAGTATTATTTTAGTTATTTGCCTAGGTATATGATATTACTATGACTTTGATATCATAAAGTGACAATTTTATTACGTTTTAAATCTGAAAATACTTTTTTTACAAGGATGTTTTTGAAACATTTTTTACAATTTCCAATTATGTAGAACGTTTTACAACAACATTTCATGATTAATTCATTACAATTGTCTGTATAAAATTATGAGTGAGGAAAAAAATATCTCTGCAATCCTTACAAATATTTAGTGATTAAATTAATTAAGGTATACAAATTTAGGCAGTAAGAAGGAAATCTTAAAAGGAACCCATAAACATGCTTAATTAAATCCGTGGCTATTGAGACAGCCAATAACTGTAATTAAAGTTTGCTATGCCAATTAACATTACTAGGCATGAGTTTTGTAATTGCTTGCTACTGAAGAAATGTATGTACAAGACAAACCTATTAAGATAATTAACAAATACAATATGTTACGTTCTCATAAAACGAAGTTCCATTTTTAACTTGCGTATTTTATTATTTGGTTATTATTCAGCAATCTTAATGAAAGTCTTAGGTAGATTATTTTTTGTCATCCGACGCCAACAATTTCTAATATTCTCGAGTACTGATGTATATGTATGCCGAATGCGCTAACTGGCTCTTGAGGTCTCCTAATGTGGTCAAGGAAATTGATTTTATATTTTTGATAAAAATATCCCACTTGTTGGAAGATTTCCAGCTTTCTGCTGTATTTAAATTAGGATGTTGGTTTTGTTTCTATAGCCTTGTCGATTAATTTTGGTTAAGCTTTTCCAACGTATGCTCATATTGTGCTTGGATTTATCGTTTATAAGGCCAATCAATTTATAAACTAGTGTTACTTCAATGTGTTATCACAGTAAACTTGGCTATTATTGAGTAAAAATACTTTCCTTAATTAGAAAAGATTCCAAACCTTAGCTTGCCAGAAACTAAAAAGTTTTAAAACAAGTTCTGTTACAAAAAAGTTAACGAGTTTGTCTCCACTTACAGTTTGTGGCAAGTCTTGGTTACAATATCCCTCTTTGCTATATCATCGCTAGCTTTATTGAGATTAATGTTATGTATTTATTAACATTGTGATACAAAGGACAAGTAAGAACGTTATTGAGATTATAAGATAATGTTCATCAAGTGATACTTTATTTAAATTGTTAGTGAATGCACGAAGTCAAGAAATAATTTCAATAAAAACAGTAAAAAAAATTAGACCATTATAAGTACATGTGCAGTGAGCATGATTCTGTTAAAATGAATTCCACAATCAAAGAATTGTCTGGAAAATTTAAAATATAAATAATATTTACGCAATAAAATTTATTATTAAAATATGGACGCGTAAAATTAATATGCAATACAAATTAAATATTCATTTTACTGCCTTATTAAAATTTAACCATATATCCGTCCATTCTGCCAAACATTCACATTCATAATACTCAGAGGACTAATTCATAATTTAGTTTTTAAAGTTTGGATATAATATGGATGCTTGAATATTTATACAAATAAACAAAAATTGAGGCAATTTGTTCTATATACTATATATAACAAACTACATATACATATATATATATATATATATATATATATACTTTGTTATATGGTAATATAAAATATTTTTAATTAAAATTTAATAATTTAATCTACATACGTATGCATATTAAATATAACCATAATATTTATTTGTTCTGTCTTATCTCTGATCCGGCTCTACGGATTTTGATGAAAATTTCAGTGGCTTGAGGCTGATTTAATTTAAATAAACTTAATATATTAGGAGTTTTTCACAAAAAAGCTACTACATTATACTATATAATACTAGATATCAAAATAAGATTTAAAAATTTTGACGTTCATTTAATGTGAAGCAATAATAAAGAACATTTAATTAATCAATTTTTTAGGTCTTTTTTTTTAATAATTAAACTTGTTAAATAACACAATATTTCATAACGTCCGGTAACCATTATAATATTCTTATAATAATAAGAGCATAAATTTTCTTAGGATTATTTTGTATAATGAATACAGTGTTTTAATTTACAATGGCTCTGACACATTTGTAATGGATGTACTAGAGAAGGAATTTAATTAGCCTTGCACGTGCTATTGATTATAAGCAATCATCGTTGGAGTAATTAAATCTAAATTGAACAGAGTCTTTCACTTCAATAGTCAGAGACATCAGTAACACAGTTTACCTTTTCCATTCGAATGACGGAAATTATTATGTTATGACCTTTTTTATGTTAAAGTGTTCTTTTTAAAGTATGTTCAAAAGATATGAAATATAGTGCTATGTAGTATAAAATACATAGAATACGTAAGTTATGTTAAAAAAAATGTACCGAGTAAATAAATATTAATAGTTTCTTTATTGTGTAGTGTGTACAAGAGCCCAATCTTTTTTGTATTTTTTTATGTAAACGTGTAGCTTTAAAATGATATTTAAAAGAATTAATGAATGGACTTTCTCATATTATTTTTGAGATAAACCATCACTTTTTTAAACATCTGTAACTATTGGACATTATAGAAAATCTTAACATAAATATATTATGTCGTAATCGATAGCAGTATATAAAATGTTATGAGGATGTAACAAATGTATCAAAGAATTTGTGATCTCTTACTTATAATTAATCAAAAAAAAATACTTTAAATCGAACTGTAAATAAAGGATCACTGGATTGATTAAAACAACGGTGTAAGAATTTCTTTGTTCTGAATAAAACATATTGTAGTAATTGATCTAGTTGCGAGGCTATCAATATATCTTTAGCACTTGACACCACAACAGTGAATCTTATAGATTACTTATCGATAAAACTGTCATAAAATTGTTTGTAAAGATAAATTTTCTGAGAATAAGGACTTCGATAAAGCCATCTGATTGACAACTTAACTCTCTCACCTATACAAAATCTTAGAGCATTTTGTTAATAACATTGAAATATTTTAAAAATATTTCCTTTACTGAATATTAATATAACTTTGAAGTATAATACATTGTCTTGTCTTTGTATGTAGATCGCGACAAATTGACTCTTTAAATCTCCTTTTGAAGCGTACATTTGTTACGCTCTGTCTTTTCCATTGAAAATTGCTTCCATTTCAAATTAATTTTTATGTCTTCATACATCCAATTTTTGATTCAAAATTATAATGACATACTACATATTATATTTGTGGTAAAAATATTAATGTTACAAAAGTTTTAAAATGTTCCGTAGATAAGTACCGTATCTAGATTTTGACACAACAAATCGGTCACGGTTTTATTTATCAGAAAAAAATCATTCACAAGAAAAATATTTGACATTGAACATAAACCGATTAAAATCTCCACCTGTTTCATTATGTTATTAGTAAGTTGTAAACTTCGTAGATACATGACCTTAAGAATAACAATTAAGGGATTTTTTTTATTTGCAGAAACGACGTCACTGTTGCTGCTATTATTTATATATTTATAGTTGCGATGATACCGAAATGGAGACGGCAAATAACAAAATGTAAGTCATGTTATATAGATGTTGTAAAAAATGTTCAAGATTTTTATAAAAGAAATAGAAAAAAAATAATAAGAAGCAACTTATTAATTTGCCACCGAATTTCAATAATAATCGGTGTTCTTACATAAAAGAGGCAAGCATATGGCAACAGTTTATAAAAAGCATGTTTATTTTTCTAGTATTTTTAATACCTCAGCGGTATGTTCTCGGAATCATGGGGCTCTTGGCGGTTTGCAACGCATACACCATGCGAGTTTGTTTAAATTTGGCTGTTACACAGATGGTCAATAATACCAAGAATGAGGAATCGCACTTCGATCCTGACGCCTGTCCTGACGAGAGCGAGATCTTCGTCAATGGAACTGTTACCTTGAAACCAGTAAGTTATAAAAAAAATCTAAGAGACCTAACCATTAACAGATATCATAGTTGTTATTTTTATATTGTGGGTATATTTAATTTTATAAACTTGATATAAACAACACGATATACAATTCTTGAAAGCCTTAGTTAGTTGTATAAAAATGGTTTTATATAAATTGTATCTTCCCAAATAATTCAGAATGAATAGATTATCTTTTTACCCTCTTTAGTATTTTTTGTTGCTCATATTGTCAGTGTTTAGTATCATGTTTTAAATAGAATTTGTGTTAAATTTTTCAGCATGCAATATTTGACTGGTCCGAATCAACGCAGGGGTTGATTCTGAGTGGTTTCTATTATGGATATGCTATTACACATGTTCCGGGGGGTTATTTAGCGGAACGGTACGGTGGAAAATGGACATTAGGAATTGGCCTCCTGAGTACAGCTATTTTTACTCTCCTAACACCAATTGTTGTGAAAGCTGGAGGAGCGACATGGTTATTCATACTTCGTGTTCTACAAGGGATGGGAGAGGTACTAAATTGTATTTGTTAATGTTACCGTCATTCTTTTTTATATAACAATGTCAATGTGGATATTCTAAAATTGAAAGAATGTAGTATCTAAATGAAACTAATATTATTCGGATTACTACGAGAGGAGACGAGGCTGACGAGATTATCCGAAGTAACCGAAACGGCGGGAGTATGTAGTTTTAAAATAATAAAATAAGTGTGGTCATCCGAATAATATTGGTTTCATTTTAATTAATACACGCTAAAGTATTAGATCTCATTATGAGAACGTAGTATCGTAGTAGTAGTAAGGCATCTTTAGAAATAGCTTTTATTATTAAAAACTCGTATGCTAAAAATTCCTTTGCTGATTTCAGGGTCCGACAATGCCAGCCCTGATGATAGTTCTAGCTAGATGGGTTCCTCCACACGAGCGCTCACGTCAAGGTGCTGTCGTCTTTGGTGGTGCTCAGATTGGTAATATCTTCGGTTCCTTCATGTCTGGGTTCCTAATGGCGGGTGGAGGCGACTGGGCTAATGTATTTTACTTCTTTGGCTGTTTTGGAATTCTCTGGTTTGTTGCTTGGGTAAGCATTATCAATTGACAATACTCATAGATTTTTTTATATAACATATTTCCTACAATCCGACTATTTGCTTTATCCTCATTATAAATATGTAACATAAAATCACATAGCTTTTGAATAATCACAAACATTTTCAAAGTTTTTTGGTTATTATAGAAAAGGTTTTTGTTCAAGTTTCTCAAATAACAAATTAAATAGGTTGACTAATTTCCGAAAACCTATTCTATTGTATTCAAAGAAACGCTTTTGAATTTTTTTACATGTATATCTAAAAATAAATTTGTTAAAGTCCTATTATTTTATTGGTTTTAAAATTATCAAAGACAAAAAAACACGTTTATTAAAATTTTATCGAAATTTTAATTTTTCTTGTTAAAAATTATATTGAGAAACATAAGCAGCATATCAACTTCTCAATACCCTTAAAGTAATATTGTTTATTTATATATTATATATAAAAAAATTACAACCCTCGTTTATTTCTTTTTTAGAGCATATTCTGCTACAGTACTCCAAACACGCATCCATTTATATCTGAAGAAGAATTGAAATACCTCAACGAGACCGTCACGAGCGCTGAAACATCTAGTGTAAGGGATCCCGTACCTTGGAAAGCTATTGTACGTTCGGTTCCAGTGTGGGCTCTTTTGTTTGCTGCGGTAAGGTGCTTTCAAATTATAGAAATGTATCGTTCAAGTTATGTAATTAATTTAATTGTAGGAATTCCATTATTTGTGATATTGAATAAGCTCAGCAAATTAGTTTCTCTTTATATTATCATAAATTGGGATTTCAGTATGTATAAATCGGTTTATGGATTTCATGATGTATAAAATATGTGTAAAAGTTAAAAACATTCTCAACACTAGGTATTTTAGTATACACCCATATGTTAACAAAGTTATACTTTCTATCATAGAAATGAATCATAATTTTGTTTTTTATTTTTTTGAGCCACATACTTTGAAATTTATACATTTATGCAACAACTTTAATACCAAGAATAGTTTAAATAATATTTCTGAAGGCTGCTGGTATATGTATTAAATATTTGTATATAAATTATGTTATTTATTTGCTCTTAAAAATTTGTTTTGTTATCTAGGTGGGACATGATTGGGGATATTACACTATGGTGACAGATTTACCGAAGTATATGACTGATGTCTTAAAGTTCAATATTGCTACAACGGGTACTCTCACCGCGATCCCATATTTGGCTATGTGGATAAGTGCCTTCATATTCGGCTGGGTTTGTGATGTATGTGTTCAAAGGAACTGGCATTCCATTAAAACTGGAAGGATAATTCATACAACAATAGGTAAAGTATTTTAATTTTTAATAGCTTTTCATATACCTAAGTAAATACAAAGTAAATTAATACAAGAAACTATTTATAGAGAAATTAATTATTACTTTGACGTCTATCATTTATTACAAAATGAATTAATTGAAATAAATATTAATCATACATTTTGTATTAAATAAGTTAGTTTTTATGTAATATATTTTATGGAAGTACTACTAAATGGTCCAGAAATATATGATAGCCCATTAATAGATTTTACTCCAGAAATTTCAATAGTAGGAGTTTCTGTGTAAAAGGTGAAGTATTAAATTCTTTATTTTTTTATTTTCAGCGGCCACTGGACCCGCAATTTGTATAATTCTAGCGTCATATGCCGGATGCGATCGTTTTGCTGCTGTTGCATACTTTATAGCCTCCATGGCTCTTATGGGAGGTTTCTATAGTGGGATGAAGGTTTGTTAAATTTAATATAGCTTAACCCTTAATTACGCTATAAATAATTCCATTTATGGTTCGATTTAATAGTAGTTATTTGTACTGTATGAGGTAATAAAATTTTAATAACTCGTCTGCATTGTTTTATCAAGGTTTTATTTTAAAAGAGCTGATTTGTTTCGTAATTTTAATTGTTTTCTTGTTTTATATAAAGGTGAATGCTCTTGACCTGGCGCCCAATTATGCGGGTTCCTTGACTGCAATGATTAATGGCACTTCAACAATATCTGGCATCATCACACCGTATCTGATAGGCCTTTTAACTCCTGATGTAAGTATTTATTTATTTTGTATTTATATGCGATTGGTAGATGAATATAATACAAGATATAATAAATGTTTTAAAAGACATGTTAGTGGAACTCATCTCAAACTAATATCAGTTCCCTTCAAGGCAAACAAACCAAAGTTCAAAGGGTTTTCATCGACAAACTTAAGATTATATCACAGCTTTCTATTAATTTTCCATTATGATATAGACGCCTTGTCAGTGGTGAATAGCAAACTTTGTTCGCTTTAAGATAGTAAAGTTTTAGTTGATTCTGCTGTATGGTTAATAGATAACTTTGTGGTATATTTTGATAAATTAAACTTAAGTTTTGCCTTGAGATGTTTAATTTTGGAAAACAATCAGTGCTTATTTTGTTTAGATAGTCGAATAACGTGTGAAATAAAAGTATCACTTTTATCTTTTTCTAGTCGACATTGAAGCAATGGCGAGTCGCTTTCTGGGTATGTTTTGCGGTTCTCGTTGGCACTAATGTGATATATAATATCTGGGCTGATGGCAAGCAGCAATGGTGGGATGATGTCAGACAATATGGTTACCCCGAAAATTGGAAACACGGTCCACTTAAGATGGCTAGTAAAGATAGTGAAAAAAATAAGAAGAAAGAAGCTCAAGGAACTGCACTTTAGAGAATTATTTATAGTGTGTATTATTAATGCCTGGTTGTATTTGATGTAACCGCAATATGGAAGTCAGTTGTTCATAGTTAGATATAAAGTTTTTTAAATAAATTCTTTTGTGATGGTAAAGAAATAAGTAGTAGCTAATCGTTAGGTAAAATAAAATCAATAAGGATAAATAATACTATCATCATCCTGTAATTTATAGAGATTACTCCTGAACGGTGCCATGTCAGTCGATTTTAAAAGGTTGGGTTTGAAGAATTTTTAATGAGAATTTAATGAATGAATAAGAAACTCAGCGATTGAAACGCTGTTAAAATATAAAAACTTAATATTGTTTTAGTAAATATCAGATAAGATAAGAAGTATATGATAGTATATCAAAATTTATGAACATATTCAATTCAATTTTATGAAAGTTATTGTTAAAAGCAACATAAATTTGCTCCATTTTTTCATAATAACATTTATAAATGCCTTTCTGTAAACACTGAATACGATACGCTTGATAAAGCATTTACGAAGCAATTATTGAGTTTGGCCTGTTTTGTTTATATCATGGAAACGGAGCGGAAATAACCGGAGTGTAAATATAATTGTATTTATTGCAAATATTGAATTGTGAATATATTGAAAGAATATTTAAATCGCACTGAATGAAACAGAATTGTAATTTGGCTATGGAAATATGTATAAATGTTTTTTATTACGCATTTTAAGTTCAAGTTACTTCTAGTATGTCGTTGTTCCTTAAGGTAACGTTTCTATGAAATGTGCTAAACAAGTGATCACAGAGAGTGAATTATATTAAGTAAAAATAATATATAGTAAGTTGAATTTTTTGTAAATATTATTATAAAGATGTAAGTAGGATGTTACCACACATAATTTATACAGTTACCATATTTGATAAAATATTAAATGTTTTAATAACAATTCATTAAACTGAATATATGATATTTTTGTGTTATTTTTGCTCCCAATTCTCGTATTTATTTTCTTCTGATATTTCATAATTTATTTATTTAGAAGACATATGTGATTTTCATATAAAATTTATTAATCTTGGTATTTATGAAAACAAAGATTTAGATTTAATTTAAAATCAATTAACAGGCAATCTTCGACAAAGTTAAAACATTTGCATCCCTATAGCTGAACTGTTACAATGCTTGCATATTAAAATCACGGATATAAAAAAATAAACAAATAGAAAAAACTACACAAAATAGAAACTGTTATTATTTTTTTTAATGTAAACTATTATAAAAAAATATGCATAACGTATACCTGAAACTGATAGTGTGAGTATGCATTAAAAGAAATGATTTTCATATCATAGTGATCTTAAAATTATAAAATAATATGTTTATTTAAAGAGTTAAGATGCAAAATTGATAAGGATAAAATAACTAATAAATTACACTAATAAAAAAGTGCCTTGAGCAAACAGATTAGAATATGATCAACTCAATATAAGTAAAATGATCGAAAATATGTTAAATAAAAAACTATACATACTGTTATCGGAATTTTTAAACTTTTCTTTTTTTAATTCTTAATTCTCTAAGTACCGCAACTTTTTGATCTTTTATTTAGCTCCACAATTTATATTTATGTATATAATTTTACAGAAATATGTGCTTGAAAGAAGAAATAACATTTTATCTCCTAAAATTTTATTTTATTTTATTTTTTATTTTATTTTCAATTCAATAACAATTCTCATTATTATAATTATATATATATATATATATATATTCTTAGCTAACTGTATTATTTAGTTTTGATTCAACAACGTGGCTGTTGATTCTAGCAGGAAGGTTATAAGTACGTGCTATCCGCAATACGGGACGGATTAATAAATGAGTGAATACTTTTTTTTTATTAATAATTAATCTACTGACATGATTCATGGCTTATGGATTACAGAATCAAATGTATACATACATAGTACTAGCTATCAAAAATAACTAATCAATTAATTAAAATAATTGACACCTTAAATAATTAATTATTATTAATTAGTTACTAAATGTGACATAATCTGAGAGTATTTTATATCATAGTTAAATAAATTATAACTACTTTTAAAAGTGAGTATGCCAGTTTTTCAAAACACGAACAAACATAAAACACTTCAAACTTCCACTATTATAAAAATAAAAACACCAAATTCAAAAGTTATACTTAAAAATATACGTTAATATTTAGATCAAAGCTAGAACATAGTGAGTTGAGATATCGCGAAAAAATATTATTTGGATGTTAAGAGTTTAACATTATAAAATTAAAACCGGTCCTAAAAGTCGTGTCTAAAGCCGGTATTTATCGTTAAAGACATGCTAAAGTCAACCGTATAACCATGTAAGCATAGAACTCCTTAGGAATTACGTAATCGTGTCGCGTAAGTACGCGGCGCCACTTAACGACATTGCCAATGTAGGCTGCTGCGTTGTTTATTGCATTTTGTCTATCATACCGGCTTCGCTTACTAATTGTCGTTTACCACTTAAATTGATCATTTTAAGACAAGAGTTACCGATCTAGTTTTTTTGGTTAAAAAGGGATAATGAAGTTCTATTTAAATTGATTATTGGGATTCAAATTAAACATCACTTAAATTTTGTTCAAATTAAGCTCTATTGAAGTGTGAGAATGAAGCCAATCAGTAATATATTGTTTGTTTGTTTGTATTAAAAAGAGGTTAATACATTTATTATATGCTTACTAGATAAAAAAATAATATATATTTTTTCCATGTAACTATTTTTCATATATTGTTATAACATATTTGTTTTTATAAATTTTATTTAAAGAAAAGGTATTATATCGATATTATTTGTGATACTTATTGTTAACTAAAATTTTTGATTTGTACTATGAAAAACGGCGAAGCTGTGACTTTCTTGTTAATTTAAGTTTTTCATTACATTTTTAAATAACCAAATAGCAATGTAACAATTTAAATGTTAAACACATTTATATATTTTATTCTTGATGCAATGAGTATGACTATCAAGTTTCATAAAGTGGTTGTTAAACAACAATGACGACAGTTCACACGAATAATTAAAGCTTAATATAAATTCGTCTAAAATTTTATTGGGTCAATTGTAATTGAACAGTTTTGTATGACCTTCATAAAATCTAAACAGTTTACAAAAATATTCTATAAGAGACACGAGTACTTCAAAATGTTTGAGCACTGAGTTCATTTCGTAAAGCGGTACATATTATATATTTTTTCCACTTAAATTACTCTCTTTGTAAAGAAAACCTTCGCATTTACTAATGGGAGGTCCGCGGGAGAGCTATTAAGGGAAAAACGTAAACGAGCTTATTAATATTTATTGAAAGTACCTTTAAAGGTTTCATTCAAATTATTTCTTTCTATGACCAAAATCATAATTTAATGACTTACACAGAGAATAATATAGATGTTTTGACAAAATAATAAATAATTTGGATTTATTATTTCATCGAAACATTTACAGAGTTGTTATTTAATCTACGTTCCCTTGGATATTTATACCAACCGAAAATTTAAGGGTTTTGCAGGATCAGTCTAATATCATTAAATAGTAGGAGCATCTCAATTAAGGTCTCGGCTCGCTTCCAATTAATTACATGTAAATCAGGTCAGACGTTTCAGCTTGTAGCTGGATAAACTATGAACAATTACTTTCTTGATGAAACATTGACTTAATTATTTTATATGAAAACGAGATCTCATTTGTCGTCTCAAAAAATATTGCCCCTCAGTCAAAAAGATGTATTATTGCTTTTAAGTAAATTGTCTCGTATGTATTACATACAATTACTGTGGGACCTTTTATCTTACAAATTTTGGGTTAGAATAAAAATAAACAAGCAATGATTTACACTATCAAATACTGGTTCACTTCAACTCGATCGGAATAAAGCATTCGTGTTTTTTTTTAATCTTTTTCAGTGTAATTGTCAATAGCAAAATTACAATACTTTTCATTAAGTACTTTTAAAGTTGCTTAACGTAATAAATTTTTATTTTGAAAATGATAATGTACAAATGAAAGCAATTCCTGTTGGAATCAATACATTTAAAATTAAATAAAAGCACTGAGTCCCATGAGTGATTCGGATCCGCATACTCGTAAAAGGTTTGAAATTACTTTTGTAATTCAATGTTGTTATGTTTCTTTAAGAAGGATCTGTTTTGTTTGAATTTTTCACTTATAAATGTTTAATGGAACGGTGTGACTACATTCGTTAGTTTACAATTTTTTGCTTTAAGTTGAGTAAACTATTTTGGTGTTCTCATTCTTACATTTTATTTTTATAATAATAAAAAGTCTCATTTCTTCACATTTACTTTATCTTAATATGTTGATCAAAAGTAGTAAACAATCGATAAAGATTAAAAAGACTTTTTTCAAATTATATTATCAGTACAAAAACATGTCGTTACCATTTGATAGAAGTTTTTATAGTTACATTTTGCATATTTCCTGATATTTATTTTTAAATATTTTTCCTTAGTTTAGAAAAATTTGAAATGGAGTTTAAGTAAATTACAAATTATTTCTTTAGATAAAAATAATTATTGTTGAAATTACTCTCTTAATGGATTGAAATGGGTAGAGAATTTTATTGCTATGCAATAATACTTATCTTATAAATAAACAAAATTTAAAAAAAACTTAATTGAAAATCAAATGCTCATAATGCCATTCCGTAATAATTTCATGATAGGTATCTTAGATTAATTGATGTCATTTACTGTTTTGTCCTGAATTAAACATTTAAATTATTTCATTATACATCTATATTTAACGCCCTTCTCATACTAATTGTTCTATCTGTGTGAAGGTTAATAAAACGTCTGTAAAGTGTCACACATACTGCAGTGGGAGCGATTATTTTTCTTATAAAATAATATTGTATTTTCCTATCTCTTCTATTTGTATATGAATATTGACAGAAGTCATTGTATATTTACTTTAACAATTAAATGATTTTAAAGGAACATATATTTTAAGCAAACATTACGAGTGTATCACTGAAGAAATAAAAATAATTTTTTTTTGGTCAAAATAACTGGTCGTTGAAAAGTTTGTGTGAAGTCTCTTTAATGTTAACATTTTAGTTTTGTTACTCACTTGTTCGGGTCGATTATTTTAATAAGTTTTTTTCATACCTAAGACTCATCAAGGTCAGTAGCTACTTCTTAAGCCATCAGTCAAAGTATCCGTGATATATTTACGACATAGCTTAACTGTGTGTGTGAGTATGTGTGTCTTATGTAGTCAACATTATTGGTAAATTAATTTATAAACTATGTATATGTTTTTTTCTACATAATAGAATATTTTATTCAAAGCAATTAATTTTATGGTTGTTGTAAGGCCATCTTTTAACTCTTCTTAAGTTTTGAGCCAGATATTATAAGAATGTATATATACATATATACTACAACTCTTTTCCCTTTCTTAATAGAATTACTTTAACAAAATAAAAAAGAATTATATTTTTATAACTCTTATTTATTAATTAATTGTATCATCTAAAATATATTACAATATTTATATAATAATCAATGGAATATAATCAAGAAATAGTTTAATATAAAGTTTATTGAATTTGTTGGTTTTTAGCACAAAATGTTTTTCATTGCAATTTGCGTGTTATTCATAAGATATTTGTTGTGTGTAGATTTTATATTCTAGTAAGTACTAGTTCCACCCTAACAGGTTCACGAGGTCGAAGGCAACGGATTAGTAGGAAACTAGTAATTTATTATCTTAAAAACATCAAGGGCAGACCAAATCGTGCTTTTACAATGTATTACTTGATAATCCTGCTATTTTATAATAAATACAGACCAAATCGTTGTTCCTCTTTTATAAAAACTCAGTACTATTTAGCTGTGATAATTTTGTGTAAAGTTTTTACTTTTTTATATAACAAAAAACAACATATTAAAACAGCAATGGTAATAAATTAAAAACCTCTGTGTCACATTAAGCAGACCACTGAAAGAGTTATGTATACCAATCATGCGTACATCGTTACAGTGTATTTCTCTTCATTAGTAATGATTAAAATAAAAAGGGGTTTTAAAATGAAAAATATTGTTTTACACACGTATCTATGAAGAATGTCTTATTTTAATGAAGACTAAATATTTTGATGTTATGTGTAATTTAATTAAAGTTAACACTATTTTACCATTTTAAACGAACGTCGATTTAAAGGAATGCTATCGTTTTTATAATTATGATTTTAATTTTATTGTTAAAAAGTAGTTTTGATCAGAAGGATATTAGCTGTTAATGTATTATATTTATCGAAAGATTTACCTGTATTTGATATGATTCGGATTAGGTTACTGTCAAAGTAATTTAATGTTAGTTAGTAGATAATACTTAACTAGTAAAAATGCATTCCCAAAAAGGGTTGTTTTCAGGCTGGCGGCCGGTCGTAAAAACAATTAGTCAAAACTGTTCACAACATAAAAGGCAGACCTTGGCTAAAGCTGGGAAATGGCCAGGAAGAAGAAGGCTTAACTAGTAAAAACATCATCATTAATTATCTGTTTTTTAAACATTGTAACTTGGAAATAGATCTAAATGGCACGAAAATAATTATATTTCTGCTTATATTAACTTGGATATAGTATTTTGGGCCTATAAAATTCATCCGTAATTGCTTATTTATCTACGACATAGTATTTTATTGCTTCATGACTAGTTATTGTGGGAATTTATTGTTTCATATGATAATAATTGGCTGGAAAACACAACACACAGACAAATTTACACACACATTTATACATCAACCTTCAAACTGGATACGTATTTATATTGATCAATTCGATTTATAAGTTCAATGTATATTTAGGTCGATGCTCATTTAAATGTCGACCTAATTACATAAATATGTTTATTTAAAAATATTTTATTAAATTTACATTTTGTATTAGAAGATCACTTATAATCAAAACAAAGTCTTTATAAATTGAGATAAATATATATATAGTATGTACTACTTCTTATGTTATAATTAGTTTGTTCTCTACAGTTTTAGTTCTCTTAGTTTGTTCTCTTTAGGATTATTTTAATCGAAGTAACATCTAATGGCAACCTTTTTTTAAAATAGAAATTCAGATAAACAATGTTTAAAAAAATACTTCATTGAAAAATTGACATTAATATAACGATAAAACGAACGTGCTGTATTTTGTTTTCGTTACTAAGAATTAGAGAACAAAGTTAATGTATTTAAAGTCTTTAATAACGAAATATAATGTTGAATATTAAAAAATATGAAGATATAATACAGTGCTAAGTTGCGCAAAATCGATCTTTGACTCCAGATAAGAGAATCTGTATCTAACGAGAAGTATGTTCTCTCTGATTTATTACGACTTTAATGTATAAACGATGAATTAAAGTTTTCCAATCCACTTAATGTTAAATAAAGTTCACAATGAACTCGATTGAGATAATAGTTCAGAAAGTTATTTATTATTTATAGATTCTTACTATAATGGAATTCACATGTGCCGGTGTAACTTACACGTTTTTATCACAACGATTTCGCTTGGTTTAATGTATAAACCGATTGACTCGGTCCAAGGCCGTCAACCTATAGTTTTACGGCCTAACAAAGTCCCGATGACAATATTAGCCATGTATGCAGACGGAACAAACGTATGCGCACATGCTGTTTAAAATTATACGCGAATGTAATTAAATTGTGTATAACTGTGTCTCTGGATGTGTGTGTGTTGTAAAGGTAATGTTTTTTATAATATTTTAATAATTAAATTAAGAAATAACATAGTTTTTTTTCTCATATAAATTTTGTAAAATATTTTATGTTGATAGCTTTATGTTTATTGGTTTGTAATATATAATATAATAGTTTTGAATAACTTAAAAACCTCTAAATCATTCAGTAGATTTATAGAAAATCGTCAAAATCGTGAACAAAATATATTTGAAAAATTTAGAATTAATCTTTGCTATAATTTTTTAAATATATGTTATAAAAGTCGTAATTAAATGAAATATATTATTGATATCAACACTGACCTCAACCTCCTAATATGATTTAAGATAATATATTTTTCATCTTAATTATAATATAATAAGTTAAAATTTAACTAGAACCTTGTTACACGCCTCTATGTTATGATAAAGATAGTGTTATCAACATGAGTCTAGAATTTGATTGATTGTTATTGTAATAATATCCTTGATTTAAACAATATTCTCTTAAACATTTATTATAGATAATTTTTCTATGAATTATTAACACATCTTTGTAAGATCTCGTCTTAATTGTGACGGATAGAAAAACGAAATATTGCTTAAGAAATGAACTAAAATTTAATAAATAAATAAATTTATATTATTCTTAATTAACACAAAGAAAAACTTTTATATTAAACTTGATTATATATGAAATAAAAATAAACCCATTTTTATATAAGTAAATGAAGTTAACGTTAATCACATTGTTTCAGATATAAAGCTATTGTAGGTCGCTTCAAAGTGAAGATTAAATAATTTGACGGGAGTCATTGTGAATTAATAATGACTGACCTAAATCAAATACAAGCCCACAATTTACTTGGTTTAAAGAACCAACCAAGAAAACCGAAGGACACAGCTCTGACGAGAGCTTTGCGATCATGTAAGTATTTATTTACTTCTAGAAATTCTTTTAATAATTTGTCAATTCTACGACTAACCAATATGGAATTGATGATTAAAATTAATGATTTGTGTCTAATTTTTGTCTGGCTTTACATTTTTTTGTGAAACACAAATTACATACGTATATACAAATATTTTACATACATTTATCGTCAAAGTTTTTATATCTTAAATACTTCGTTAAAAAATGTCAAGCTTATTAAATTATTCGTAATTTTTTATCTCAGTAATTAGGGAACTTCAAACAGCAATTACATCAAAGTAATTTAGAATTCTTATAAAATATAAGCACAAAATGGAATTTTAATTTTGTAAGAACCCTAGGTGGATGTTTGATTCAAAAATCACTTAATAAATAATTATTTAACGATATTTTTTTTTGTTACTAAGCGGTCTATGCAAAACTTAAAATTAAATAACAATATAGTTTTATAGACTCTATGTATGTAAATTGCGATCCTTTGCATTTTCAACGGTTAAAAATTTAACCAATTTTAGATTCCATATAAAAAAAAATTAAGGAATCCCAATAAAAAGGATGTTATCAAAATGAATAAAAAATACTATCATGTGGTGAAACGTTTCGTTGACTTTCAAATGTACCATTTATTTATGATGCGAACAAAATTGCGGGAGAAAATAGTATAAAATATGAGTAGCACATTTTTGCAACCAACAGAGTATCATGAATTATAATCAGCTTCGATCGTGGGTAGTAAAACGGGTTTGAGAACTGAGATGGATAAATTTAGTGGGAACCAAAACGGTTGTAAACGTATACCATCATATATCTTGATAAGATCGTAATTTTTTATACAGCTTTTATTAAGTTGTTTGAAGCCACCAGATGAGATTCGATATCTCCCTATCAAAACGGGAAACCGATTACCATGATTGGTATTTTTGGTTATTTAGTATAAATATTTAAGGTTCAGCGTTACTATGTTTTCGTTACATGTTATGAATAAACAAAAAACAAAAAGATACTACGATATTTTGAGTGTTGAGCCTGTTTTTAAACCAAAAGAAAATTAATAAAAATTATAATACAAGAATCTGAGGCTATATAAAACTATTACGGATTCAGATCGAGATCAAAACAAAGATTAAAGGATTAAGATAGTTTTACCTCAATATAAAAGCATTAAACTTTGTACGAACTAAACTCTTGCCAAAATTTTTTACTTGTTGGAATATATTTTTCTATCAAGTAATCTTAACATTTATATGGAGAATCATGTTTTCATTTCAGATAACAAAAGTTGTTTCTAGAAACTACAGATAGTTATAAGTTTAAATTATAGACTAATATAACTTAAGCTATGTATATTTTAGAGAATTAATCGCTATTAGAATTATCTATACTAATGCTATACAAGGGCAAATTATTAAGAATTTTAAACTCTTATTCAAAACAAATAAGTCATCAATTAAAATTCATATTATCTATCTACACATATATAAGATGACTTTGTGTCTTTAAAGAATATTGCTAATAATTTAATTTATTATTAGTATCTAATGAATACAAAGTGACAAAGGGAAGTGTTACAAGAATTATTATGAGCGTAATTGTAAAGGATTCTATAAATAATCGTATTCTAGTATAGAGTTATAAGTATAACTAACAAAGAAACAATTTTATCCTGCTCAGGGATTGTAAAATTAGAATTCATTTCATTAAATAAAATAACATTTCTTAAAAGCCAAATATGAAAAAAACATTACTTTATTACTCGCTTCAATTACAATATAAAACTAAGATTTTTTCATATTAAAGGAAAATTTTTCAAAAAGTCTTTTATTGGTTATAAAATTTTGACACCATTGCTTTTTTTGTATAAATATTTAAAGTGTCCTTAACTTACAAACATCCTTAATTAATCCAGTAGTTCTTTAAGTTTCACTATCTTCTTCTTCTATATATAAAAATGGAGTGCTGTTCCTTAGTCTCGCTAAAACTCGAGAACGGCTGAACCGATTTGGCTAATTTTAGTCTTGAAATACTCCTGGAAGTCCAGGAAAGGTTTAAAAGGTGAGAAAAATTTGAATAATTGCCGGGAAAACCCTAAATACAGCCCTTTTCTATTTCCCATACAAAGGTTTGTTTTGACATTAGATTTGACAACTAACTAATATGTCAATCATTCTGTTTGATTGAAACAGGAAAAATCTGATTATTTATGGCCTCTAAGACGGAATACAGTTTGCCTGGTCAGCTATACCTACATATATTACTCTTGACCAAACTAACGCGGACGAAGTCGCGGGCAAAAACTAGTTCTTGATAAAACAAAAGTGTATTCAAAATATCTGTAAATTTTCGTAAACTTTTTATTTAAAGTTTCAAACAGATCCGTCGAACAATTTTGATAAACATTGTGTACTTAAAATTGTTAAAAAAAAAGCAAACAAATAGACTGACCATTTCACTTCAATTTAAAAGCTCTGTGATTTTACTTGTTCCATAACTTAGACATGTTACCTGATAATAAATGTTTCTTTCAGGTTGTGTCATACCCCAACGGTACATTCTAGGAGTTATGGGACTTTTAGGCGTGTGCAATGCCTATACAATGAGAGTCTGTTTGAACTTGGCAATTACACAAATGGTTAACAGGACTAAAAGCGGTACAGAACATTTTGATCCCGACGCATGTCCAAGTGATATTGAAGATTCTAATGCTACAAATATTTTACGACCAGTGAGTTTGAGATTTTTTAGTAAATACAAAACCTTATCTGAAATATTATGAAATGAAATACTACTTATACTTCTCTGATATATTTGAGTAATTGCAGTGTAATGAATGAAAATTGTATACAAATTAAGACTAATGCTCATTACTCAGCTAAAGCATGTTTATTTAATGAATATTTGAAAGTAACTGGGGCGTGCGTCCTGAGGACACCAATGTGAATACTTTGTTGGGATCGGAATTCCTATTATATCGCCTGATTTCAAAATACTTTATTCATTGCTTGCAATTTATTGTTAGCCTTTTATGTCACTTTATTCTTAAAGAAACAATTCAATTACAAGACCAGTTCATTGGTCTTTATAATTAATATAATAAAATATATTCTTGTCATATTTCTAAAATAATTTCATCAAGCTTATGAGAAAGCATTTAGGGTTTAAGTACATTAGAATTGTAACCAGTTCTCAGTGTTTGTCTAATTGTTAATGCAAGTTATGTCGACGTAAACATACCGTCATTTCTATTCCTGACCTGTAATGTTGAATAAAGTACTGCTAAGCAGCTGAGTTTGCCAAGCTGTATTATTGTAACATAAATAATAATTAAATAATATTTGCATGCAAGATATTCAGAGCGACAAAGTTATTATAGATTATTATCAATATGTTTTAAAGGAGACTTTATTATTATATAAAATAATCCTATCGAATAAATTATTAATTTTATCAGCAAAATACTTCGACTTTATGTTGATATAATTGTTCTAAAATTGTTAGTAAGCATAAATTTCCATACGATATTGCATTGTCTTATATATATGTACCTTTTATTTTACAGTACGCGACTTTTGACTGGGATGAGAAAACTCAAGGTTTAATTCTAAGTGGATTTTACTACGGATATGCAGCGACTCAAGTACCTGGTGGATATTTAGCTGAGAAGTTTGGAGGAAAATGGACATTAGGAATTGGTTTACTTAGTACCGCTTTATTTACTTTTCTAACACCAATAGTTATTAGAGCTGGAGGAGCAACTTGGCTCTTTATACTGCGAGTCTTGCAGGGAATGGGGGAAGTGAGTTTATTATTACAACACAATTTATTTGTGAGCTCTCTTTAAATATATGTATAAATTTGGTTATCTTTAATTACTAAGGGTCCGACGATGCCAGCTTTAATGATAATGTTAGCGAGATGGGTGCCACCGCATGAACGCTCGTTTCAAGGGGCTTTAGTATTTGGCGGAGCACAAATAGGAAATATATTTGGCTCTTTCATGTCTGGTATTTTGTTAGCTGATGGAAGAGATTGGGCATATGTATTCTATTTCTTCGGTGGCTTCGGCCTTGTGTGGTTCACTTTGTGGGTAAGTTTGACCGCAAATGTGATTATTTACTTGTTATTTATAAATTTTTTATATCACAATATTACGTTTTTGCAACTTAGATACGTTTTTATCAAACGAGGAAAAAATTTTATACAATTCAAAAAAAATGTATTTTTTAATAATTTCAGAGCTTACTTTGCTATAGCACACCAAATACTCATCCTTACATATCAAAGAAAGAACTTAACTATCTCAATAAGAATGTTACAACTGCGGAAAGTATTACAGCAAAGGATCCAGTGCCGTGGAAGGCAATCCTGAGATCTGCTCCCGTATGGGCTCTTGTATGGGCTGCTGTAAGTATAATTATTTTTATTTGAAGTGTATCTAAGTTTATGTTCGTTATTCATAGTACATTTATCTACTAACTATATGTGTGCTATACAAATTGTATTTCTGTTGATTGCTGACAAGCGTATGTTACATCAGATTATTGCTATTTGTTAACTAAAGCCATTTATTTGCTTTGAAGATAGTATTCACGATAAACGCTTGTTTTCAAACGGGAATTCAACATCGAAATGGTATTAATATTATTAATACAACAGTTTTGTGTGTTTGTAACTCAATCATGCAAAAACTACATAACTAATTAAGGTTGAAATTATGTTGGAAATGTTGTAGTCACGATAAATATTGACATCTGCGAACGGAATCACGGGCAAAGTGTAGTTGGCAATAGTTTTGTTTAATAAGCATTTTAACCTAATTGGTATTGATTGTGAAATATTAGATAAGTCGTTGTATTGTATGAATGCAAATATTAGCGTGAATAGTTGTTTGCACACAATATGATACAACGAAATGGTAACTTTAAACAAACTATTGTTGCAATAAAAATTATGATTGTCTGGTCGTTATCTTGTAAATGACATCACTTGTTTTGAAAATGCCTTAGGATCATATTACTAAGCAATGTTATCTATATATTAAGTATATTAACTTAATCAGAACCATTTACTTGACTTAAAAACTTGAACCAAATTGCCTAATTCTAAATATTTCTATACTAAGTTTAAATTTATTTAGGTTCAGATTAAGAATGAAAATATTTTTTTTATAAGAATGTTATCTAGGAAAATTGTTGTACTTAGACTATGATGCTACTGTCGCTTTGTTTTTAAATGAAGTTGAATAACAACTACTGCAGTTTGCATTTAAAAACGTACTTTCTCACTTGCTTCATGAAGAAATTGAATCGTGCAGTAACCAGGGAATCCCGTTAAATTTAAATATGACGTGGCATTCATTCCGTTGGATCCCATCACTCGCGTGTCAATTGCAAAAAATGATTCAAATATAGCGCACCATTTGCAGTCTTATGCCAATGGCATAAAGTGTAATTTTAGTAGTCCCTTATTCTAAATTAGATTTAAAGTTTGTCTACACTCCAATTTTATGAACAACGTAATTCTTAACATGCCCCTAAAATTTTATACAGAAATAGGGATAAATTCTCCCTTGATGCGATTCACTTTATTTAATGTCACGATTAGTACTTCAGTGATAAGATTTTAGATTTAAAAAAAATATATAGTCTTATGTTTACAAAAGACTTTGTATGAGTAGTATATGTGATCCAATTTGGATATAATATGTATTATATTTGGATATCCAAAGTACCCAATACACTTACACATATTTACTTTTCTTTACAAAGATGGTAGACGCAGTAAAAACTTTTATAAATTTATTCAAATAACAACGATAAATAAGATAGGTTAAGAAAAATATTTTTTTATGATGGATTTATATAGTTGAGTTTTGCCAGTAAAATATAAGGTTAATGCTATACTAAAAATAATTGTAATATCAAGGTACTTTATGCTTAAAGTTTGCAAAAGATTTTTTTGTAGTTTTTAATACTGTTTTGTTTGTGAATACGTCCCCTTATCACTGCATAGTTGAAGCTCGGGAAGCTTTAAATTTTCTTGAGGTTATTTAGCATAAGGAAGTGTAACTAAGATCTAGAATAATTTATATGCAATTTAAATAATAAATTGCATTGTTAATAGTGAACAGCTATTTTTAAGTATGATGAATACAGTTACGTCATATAATAAAAATAGAATCTTCGGATATAATTAATACTCAGTATCATTAAATTAATGATAAGGTATAACCGTTTGTATTTGTTTATATTTAAAAACATAGGTTATTCCGTAAATTTAGTTAAATTTTTGTATTGAGGCAGTTGTTTAATACTGATAAACTTATAACTGAACGCCAAAGATATATTAGAGACTTCAAATATAACTTTAAAATTGTCAAACATTGTGACGTAATTCATTTATGTTCATGTTTTATACTCCTACTTTGACAGTAATACGCCATTTTGGTTCAGCGATTACGTAATCGTTACAATGGTCACATGCCATGCGAGAGACCTTGGATTGTGTTTTATACCATAATTTTAAATTAACGTTTCTATGCTTCTAACAAAAAGTTATTACATTTTAAGAACAATCACCCTAGTACAAATGATATGATTTTGTTCCTATTGATAATTTCTGTTAGACATTTGTCAGGTAATTTTTATCTCGGTAATGTAAATATATCTAAGTAATCCCTTTATTTCCTACTGATAATATAAGTGTGAAATTTTGAAGTGTATGAACGTTTGTTTCTCTTTTACTCGATATTGATACGGTATTTTAATTAAGTCTTTTGTTTTGCATGTATAATATCGCCGTAGTTAATATTTAAATATATTGCGTGGCATTTGCCACGACATTTTGGCCCTAGGGAAGACTGTGAAAGGTGGCTGTGAAATAAAAATGGACATTTACAAAACTAGTGTCTTCTTAAATGAAAATACTTTTCTTTCATAGTTAATCCTAAATTTAAGATACTTTATAAAAAAAAATCCTGACCTTCAAGACGAACCAACAGCCATGACTTCTTCATTATGTTCGGATTTAATTCTAAGACCATTATGTTTAGATAACAGCTATGAGTGATATAATTTTTATATAAACATATAATTAATTTTTAACTTAATATTCTACATAGTTTATTATAGGAGTTGAAAATATTCAAACGACTTTGTGTAAACTTACCTAACCCAACACAAACACATTGTTGCTTGCACAACATAAACTAGTTTAATTCCCCAGTGGGTGCTTGAACTACTTCAATTTATTGTAGGTTGCGTACTAAAATTATGCAACTGCAGTTTGAAAAGTGGTATTAAATTCATGGGTCAGTAAAACACATAAAATTTTATTGCAATTCCGTTGCTCGGGATGTCACTAGGACATCTAATATATTAAATACGGCTATTTAAACTGTACTTCTGTGTATTGTTATAATTTTTACAATGAAAAGGAATGTTTTTTTTAATAATTCTTATTGTATTTAAAACAACAATAGTGCCATTAAAGATAGGTGCATTACGATTATGACAGTTTTCAAACTAAAGGAAAAATCTTACGTAAGTGATGTCTAACTTTGACGGAGATAGATCTTAAACATATGTACAGTATTTTTAGTGATTAAAATTAAAAATATATTAAACTTGAATTTTAAAACATCACTATTAAATTGTGTATAAACTTAGGAATATTGTGTCTTTACAGGTCGGTCACGACTGGGGTTATTACACAATGGTGACAGATTTACCCAAATACTCACACGATGTGCTTAAATTCAACATAGCGACTACTGGAACTCTCACTGCCTTACCTTATATAGCTATGTGGTTATGTTCCTTTCTGTTTGGATTTGTATGCGATCTCTGCATTAAGAAAGGCTGGCATACCATTAAGACGGGTAGAATTATTCACACTACCATAGGTATGTATTTATGCAGTGTATTTAAAGGAAGCTTATTTAAAAGTACATTTTGATATACTTTATATTAATATATTTTACGTTCACTTAATCTGCTTAATTCGAAATTCCAATTACATATGTAGCGATAATCTGACTTAAAATAAGAATTCAATAATAGTTTCGATATATAACTATAACTATAAATCGTGCATAATTATAAGGACTATTGAATGAAATTAATCTCTTAAATGGCATGTTCTTTCAGCGGCCACTGGACCTGCTATATGTATAATCTTGGCTTCATACGCTGGCTGTGACAGAACTGCTGCTATGGTGTACTTTATCTTGTCTATGGCTCTTATGGGAGGTTTTTACAGTGGTATGAAGGTATGAATCATCTTATTTGTATTTTGCTCATTTATATAAAGAGTATAAGGACTTCTGTATCGTATGTTGGGCCATTTTCTATAGGTAATTATTTAAAAGAGAACCTGACTTTTTTCTGTTCCATTTCCTTCGTTTTTTTTTTGGATAGATGTTAAAACTTTTATAAAATAGAAAATAAACAGTGATATCAATACTATATTCAGGTTGTCACAGAATTCAGTCAATATAAACACGTAGTTTATAAAACATTCATATTTACATTTTATACAAAATGAATATGAAATTTATAGACCTTTTAAAAAAATATTCAATAAATCCTTTCGATTCATTAAATATTCCGTTTTGTTCTTCATATTAAGTATAAAAGTATTATGATATCATATATTTAATAAATTTGACGAGAGTTGATTAAAATTACAATGACTCCAAAGAATTGAATTTATTAATTAATTAGTTGAAATAATTGTTTAAGGTAAACGCATTGGATCTGGCACCGAATTATGCCGGTTCGCTGACATCGCTAGTAAACACAACTTCTACATTCGCTGGTATTGTGACACCATACCTTATTGGGTTATTGACACCTGACGTAAGTATAATGACGTAATAGTTCATTCTTTGCATGATGGTATTTTTGGTGACAACTTATGAAACATTATTATTATTAATTTTATACCATTCTAGTTTTTGCCCGATACTTCATCCGTATTAATTTCGGATGAGTAATATACATATGGAATTTATTATTTTTTTTCTTTTTTGATCGAACAAAAATCCTATGTCCGTCTCTTAGTTCTAATCTATCTCCCCACCAATTTTCAACCATATCTCTACAGCCGATATCGAGTTATAAATAGTGTAACTAACACAACTTTCTTTTATAACATGTTAACAAATAAATATTAACATCTTTATTAATTTATATATTTATTTGTGTCTTTTTAGTCAACCTTAGCTCAATGGAGGATCGCATTCTGGGTGTGTTTTGCTGTGTTAGTTGGTACAAACGTAGTGTACTGCATCTGGGCTGATGGCGAACAGCAGTGGTGGGATGATGTAAGGAAACTCGGTTACCCACCCGACTGGAAGCACGGATCCTTAATACCTGATGGAAACCCTGAACAACCAGAAACTGTGAGATTATCGAGCAACAAAACATCGGATGATGTATATTAGTTTTAAAAAAAAATTGTCGTGGGCTAAACATTCGGGTAACTCTTTTTCCTAGTCACAATTTAGCGATAAATCTGTTTTATTTCTGCAAGCCTTCATTCTGTTATATGTGGTGTCAAGTCATTATATCTTACAATTACCACATAACCTAATATAGATGATCAAAATAGGGAAAACAGTGTATGTTACGTTTCCTAACTTGTATGAAAGCAATATCATCTGACTATGATTAGGACAAAGTCATAATATATGTATGTATAACACAATAACCAATAATAGAACTGTTGTTTGTATTTATGTGCATTTAATTTTTATGGAATGTTTATTTTCATAGACTTTTCATAATCCTCGAATTAAGAGTTCCCGTTATAGGTAACAAAACTTTAAAAGTTAAATCCTGAAATTCTTACGATGTGGTTTTATGAATCCGAATTAAGATAAACTAAAATAAATAAAACATTTATTATATTTGATAAAGGTTAATTGCGCTTTTACAACGTTTTTTAATTACAATGTAAGAAGTAGTTTTAGCCATTCCAATAATAAGTTTAGAATTGTTAATTCATATTAAACATATCTTAAGAGATAATCACTAAGTCGTTTTCATCGTTCAGCTCTTTATGTACATTTATTTCTTATAATCTAAGTTGTAAAGTATATGTTTTTTAATATATCAAAATATAATATTAAACATATATTGAATTAAACGCTGTTTTCTGTTATGTTAAATAGAAACTAAATGACTTACAATTATGGTACACTATATGTTTAATATTTCATTATTAGTTCATGTATATTACAGGGATTTCACAGGCAATTTTATATTGTATATATTAAAATATGTGCATATTACTTAATTAAATTCATTTAAATAAATAAATTTGTTAATACTCTTACTGAATAAATATTTGTTATGAAATTGATGAGTTTTGTTGATTATGAATAATACTATTAAATAAATTCGTTTACTATAATTATATTGTCTACTCTGCAGACTGTAACGTGTTGGAAATTAACAATGAGGTGTGAATGAAATTTATTTCTATTCTCAATATACTCAGCTATATTGAATACATATGTTAAATGACTGTAAAATAAAACTGCTGACTTTATAACAGGATACAATTTAGTGTATTCAGACGGTCAGGCATTAATAAAAAATTTGCACCTGTGAACAAAATTAGGTCAGATTATGTGTTTTTTTTATGTTAAAGGGGGCAACTGAGCAGACGGCCTACCTGATGGAGGAAGTACCGTCGCCCATGGACATACGCGACATAAGAGATGTTACGGATGTGTCACCACCCTTGTTTTGGGAAGATGGAGAGGAAAACTGGGAAGGGGATGAAATAGGGAAAGGGTAGGAAAGAATGGGAAAAGGGAAACGGCAACCGGCTCTCTCACTCATCGAACGAAACGCAGCTACTAAGGCTACTTCACGCCGATCTTCTGTGAGAGGGTGAAACTTCCCCGGTCGAACGAGCCCATGTTTGAGCTGCAATCACTTGACCACAGTTAGGCTCTACCCCCTAAGATTGTATTTTGTAATCTCTTCCAGAGTAAAGTTGATTAAAACTAAAACTATTCAGGACTTGAAAGTACAGCTAAATTATTATAACTGGTAAATAAACGTTTATTAGGAACAATGAATATGTTCTTATGTGAGAGATAGCACGCAACCATTTCAATCCTCAGGGCTTATGGGCTTTAAGTCTTATACAATTTAAGCAGTTTTAGACAACTATCACTTACAATACAGTGGTAAAATAGCTTACAAAGTTACATTAATGGAGTTGTGTGTTGAAATTTTCAATTGAAATATATTTAAAAAAAATCTTTTATTAAAATGTGAATAAGTTTCACGTGAATATTAAAAGTTCTTGTATATTAAATTATCATAAACATTAGAAGTTGCTCAAATGCATCATGAAAATATATTTTTTTTATCTTCTATTATCTAACAATCAATCAGTGACTTTTCCTTACTATAACTACTAAGAAAATTTTAATTAAAAGTTTGTGGATGTGTTGAAAAGAAAAGCAAATACAGGAAGTCTATATAGTTTTATCATAAGTTTTATAATCGTATGAATTAGATCTATTTTGGTACAGATTCGCTCCCTGTATGAAACCATGTTTTCTCTTGGCAAATATACATGTATGCGTAGTGATAATAGTAAGTAATATTTATGTCAAGATCATTAGTAAAATATTTTAGTTAGTTTTCGCATCTTAATGAATAATAATATAATAGTGGAATAATTTAAAATCTTAATTGAAATCCACTACATATGTAGTAGTGTAATTTTAATGTGTATATAATAAAAATAACAGACTAGGTAGTTAGGATGGAGTCAAGGAAAGCATCATTTAGTAAATCACAAACAAATATTGGACAAAAAATGGAAAGTCATAAAGGCATTCTTAACACCTTACAATCATGTAAGTAAATTTTGTATAAATGCTTAATCATAAAATTCTATAAAGTTCCAAATATAATCAAATCCTACTATGTGTTAAAGGTTGTATTATTCCTAAGAGATATATATTTTCAATAATGGCAATGTTTGGAATTTTGAATGTGTTCACGATGAGGGTAAGCCTCAATATAGCGATAACACAAATGGTTAGACATGTCAAAACCGTTGGAGGGCACTTCGATCCTGATGCGTGCCCCAGTGACGATGTAGTAGGAAATAGAACTATAGTTTTAAATCCAGTGAGTATATTTAATTATAAAAGTAAAATTAGTGTTATATGTAATATATTCAGTTACAAAAATAATATCAAACTAAATCAAATCAATTTAAAGCAAACAAAGCAAAGTATTGGTAATGTGCGCATAATATTATTTGTAATATTTAACCCATGTAACAAATATGATAACTACCAAAACAATACATTGAAAGTTGTTTGGGTATAAACCCTTATTTATTTTTTATTTTTATTGTAGCTTTTTAAACTTATCGACTTGTATCACATTAGTGTATGTTAAGTTTTTGATGCTATAACAATTTCAAAGTAGTCAAATGTCACAAAACTTTCAGAACACATATGATAGCGGGTATTAAGAGCTTAAGGATCTAATGATATCACAATTTATATGTAAAAGAAACTGTAGTCTGTTCTTAGTCTTTGTTTGCATCGTGTCTTTTATTATGTTTCATTTTTTTTATTTTGTTCAATTATTATTGACTCTGTTTTTATAATTTACGGTTTTAGAAATATAAATGATGAGTTTGAAATTATAATCATGAAGTATAAATGGAATAAAGATATTATAAACACTGAAAGGAATATATTCAAATAATTTATTTCTATCTCAAAACATTTTTTATGAACCCATCTTCTGAATCATTGATTTATCTGATTATTTGGTAAGAGACGCTTAATACCTTTTTCAGCATGCCGTATTTGATTGGGACGAGCGAACACAGGGCCACCTTTTAAGTGGCTTTTATTATGGATACGCCACAACGCAATTTTTGGGAGGATATTTAGTGGAACGTTATGGTGGAAAATGGACAATTGGTCTTGGTCTTTTAAGCACATCAATATTTACCTTGCTTACACCGGTTGTATTAAAAGTAGGCGGTGAAACTTGGTTATTTATTTTGCGAGTACTTCAGGGTATGGGTGAGGTAAGAAATGATTTGTTTGTTTTTTTTATGTTTTTTATGTATTGCTATTAATATAATATAATTTTATACTTAGGGTCCAACGATGCCTGGTTTAACGTTTATGATGTCGAGATGGATACCTCCAGAAGAGCGAGGGATCCATTCAGCTTTGATTTTTGGCGGTGGTCAAATGGGAAACGTTTTATGTCCACTTTTATCTGGTATCTTGCTATCTGATGGACGAGATTGGGCGTATGTGTTTTATTTCTTTGGGAGTTCAGCCTTAATTTGGTTTATTTTTTGGGTAAGATATTCATTTCAATAATTAGAATCTGCTGTATAAAAGTATACTTTATTTTAAATGTGATTTCTAACTATTTTTTTTTAATCTAGACTGTACTATGCTATAGCGAGCCAAACACTCATCCATTTATTTCAAAAGCGGAATTAAACCATTTGAATAAGGTTGTTATAAGATCTGAACACAAAAATTGTAAAGATACCGTACCATGGAAAGCAATTTTACGGTCACCACCCACGTGGGCTCTTTTAGTTTCACATGTAAGTATTTCGTAAAAATATATTTTAGGAAAATAAGTATATGAAATAAATTGTTAATTTTTAATGCTATTTTTCTTATAGGTTGGTCACGACTGGGGTCTGTATACGATGATAACAGATCTTCCAAAATACTCTTATGATGTACTAAAGTTTAATATTACTGATACTGGACTACTCTCTGGATTGCCATATGCAGCTATGACTCTTTGTTCATTTCTGTTCGGATATATTAGTGACCTATGCATTGAAAAAGGTTACCATAGTGTAAAAACCGGACGCATACTCTATACAACAATTGGTAAATTTCTAAGCATTTGTTCGTAAACGCGCTAAACATAGTAAAGTTTAATCCTTAAAAAATACATTATTTTACACTAGCCATGAATATTAAATGGTCTTGCTTAAAATGTCAATATTTTTTAGCCGCAGCTGGTCCAGCTATTTGTATAATACTGGCTTCATATTCAGGATGTGATAGAAACGCAGCAATGATTTATTTTATAATATCTATGGGACTTATGGGTGCTTACTACAGTGGAATGAAGGTGATTAGATAGATAAAAAATACTTATACATATACGTATCTAAGAAATGTATGGAACCGCTTAGAATTATCTGAATTTCAGATTAACACACTGGATATCGCACCAAACTTTGCTGGGAGTTTAACATCATTGATAAATACATCATCGACGTTCACTGGCATAATATCACCATTTCTAATAGGTCTCTTGACTCCAGATGTAAGTATTAGCTTCAGTACCCACATTTGCGTACACAGATTTTTATTTTAGCATCTAACAATTAACTTTATATTACTTTAAAATAACTACTTAGGCTTAAATATGACATGGAGAGTAAAGAAAATAGCATGAATGTAAAAAATAATAATCTGACTGCTGTGAAACTAAATGTTATGTAATGAATTTGGGAATCTGTGTCTGTATCTGGTTTAAAAATTCAAAAATGTTTCAAAAGGCTTTTAAAAATATAAATTAAGGTAGACATTAAATTAAAACTATAAACATATATCAATAAATACGGACACATAAACATCTTAAATTTTTATCAAACAACTTCCTTTATTTCATTAATTTTATGTTATATTGCAAATAGAAAAATGAGTAGCAATAAAAAATAATCCAAGCTAGAACTAGAATATTCATATTTTTCATATGTTTAAATATAATTATTATTTATATTTTTTCAGTCAACGTTAGTCCAGTGGAGAACTGCGTTTTGGGTGTGCTTTGCTATGTTAATGAGTACCAATTTGGTTTATTGCTTATTCACGGAGACGGACCAGCAATGGTGGGATGATGTGAGGAAATTCGGATATCCAGAAGACTGGAAACATGGACCTATAGTCAAAGATGAAATCAAAAATTCGGAAGAAGAACAGTTGAATAAATCTAGAGATAAGGAACTTAATAGCATTATATCTAAATAGAAAATTTACTATTAAAAACATAAAGGACAAAAAAATTACGTCGCGAGGTCAATCAAATCAAATTTTAACAATATATGTATATACGTTCCATCATTTACCCCGAACTATATGTTATTTATTACTTATTCTTAAAACGTATACTAATATCATTGTGTTCGTTAAGATAGACTATGAGAATGCCACGACCGACTAAGAATGCAATTTTGTTGAAAAGAGCCGGCAAGAAACTCGGTAGTGTTATTTATATATATTACGACGTGCAAGACATTGTATTAAATCTTTCTCGCAGTTTAAAATCAGTTCTTAATAAAGGATATATAATGAAGTTTAAACTGATTGGATTTTGCAGAAGATATCGTGAATATTATAACCTATAAATAAATACCTTCTTATATTCAAAAAGATTCTGTATATTTTGGATGGAAAATCAAATTAGAATTGATAGTCAGATATTGCTTGTTTGAAAATTATTAAAATTAACCAAGCAATATACGGTGCCGCGAGAACATCAATCACTTTAATAGAACTTCCCATGTAATCTCAAGTTTATAAACCATTTGTTATTTGTAAAATGAAAAGTTGTCAGTTTCAGCAGTTCTATACTGTAAAACTGGTATTGAGGCACATGTTAAAAATAAAAGGGTCCATTAAAAAATACCTTAACTGAGTTGACTCGTGACACTTGTAAGTTTTGGAAAACACAAATAAAAAATGCAATATGTCTTCTTAAACTAAAATAATAGACATCTTAATTTGAAACATTTAATTTCATGTCATTCAGAACTTAACATTTAAATAAAAAACGAATTATACAAACCAAGAAATCAGCATTATTGAGGTACATCGTTAATATCAATATAATTAAAACTAAATAAGAAAAATCTCTGAAATATTTGAAGTATTCCAAATTATTTCATATTTATGATACAAATCTAAAAGGAACTAAAATTAAACAATTAAACCTGTCTGAAATTTTTTAAATGAGGAAAAATGTAACTAAAAATAAATAAAATAAACAATTTATTAGTAAATGAAAAAAAATGTAAATGCGTAAAGAAAATTAACAATTTATTAATTTCAAATGATAATAAAAATATATTTTATATAAAGTCGATATTAAATTTAATAAATATTTTATATGTATATCTAAAAATTTGGGCAAACAATAAGAGAATCGTCGTTGTTATCAACAGAACAAGTTTCTAGTAACATACGCTTTCTTGCTTCCCTCAACTGTGCCGTTGTCTTTTTGATTTGATTTTCAAGAATTTTCTTTTTCTCCCTAAGTCTCACCACCTGAATGAAAAATTATATAAGCAGTTATTTTTAATTTTTAATTTCAAATATCGGTATACTTATATATGAAGCGCTTACTATTTCTAATATGTTAAAAGACTTGGCCCTCAAAGCAATTTTTTTTGAAAAATAATTTGAAACTGTCTGGGGTTAAGTTTAATTTTGTTATTATCAAATGTAAACGATAATATTTAAAAGTATATTTGATTTTATTTCTAGAATCAACATTCCATTCGATTGATATGCTGATTTATTGATTTTTATCATACTAAAAATAATTTATAAATATAATCAAACATAACTAGCTAAGTTTATAAATAAATAACATGCCTCGTCACCGGCGTTCTGATAATCGCGCAACAAATCTCGCCTTGTTAGCAAACCGGCTTTTATCCGTTCCGCCTCCAGGGACCAACGGAGTTTGTCGCGTTTACTCTACAATCGAAAGTATATTAAATAATTTTCAATGAATAAAAATAAAACTATATACATTTTTATTTACAGCTATTCAACAGTTAGATTACAAGTCAAAATTATGAAGGTGCTCAATATATTTCTTAGGCCATACAATTTTATAAAGTCTAAAAAGAAAACTTTATTCATAGTGGGTTAAAATTATAATTAATAATATTTTTGTTCAAAGCATAGTATTTACATGGATACGTTTTGCACTGTTTTTATAAATATCTATGAATAATTCGAACAAATATATACATACGTATACCATCGACTGTATTAATGAATTATTTATTAACTATATATTTACTTTAATGTGCCCTAGATCTTCTCGCGCCCTGATGAGTTCTATTTCAGCGTCCCCCAAGTCACACTCCGCAAAGTCTATGACCTCATCTGTGTGATGCATCTTTTCTCTTATATGAGCAAGGATTTGATTGTGCTCAGTACAGTTGGTTCGATTTTTTATAAGCTCATCGTCCCTTTCTAGAAAATAAATGGTTCAACTATTGTTAGTTTTGTTGGTTCAACTATTGTTAGTTGTAAAACTTATATGAAAATTTAATAATGTGTCCGGGGCAACACCATTTTGTGTATATTATATCATTTAAACTAGTGGCTTCTAATTCCACGCAGAGAAACGTGGTCGTGTGAATCTGAAAAGTCTTGACAAAAATAAGAATTTTTAGGGCTAATCAAATAGATTTAAGTAAAAGTCTTAAGTTCCGTAATATTCCTGGTGTTGTCTAATGTAACTCGGTAAGTATAGTACTAAATATTATAATTGTATTTTGTTGTTAAAAATATAGAAAATAGAAAAACTTTTAGAAAGAAACCATTGTTTTCCTTGAAAAGGATAGAAAGATTTTCTTAGCCAATACGACGGATAAAAAACGGTTATCACCCCATTTAAACCTCAAAGGCATGTCTATTTCCTGCCCTTGATAGAGCCAGAGCTTGAAGTCATCATGAACAATAGAAATTAAGAAATACGAGGTAAGAGTAGATTTAGTTCTTTAAAACTTAAGTTGTGTTTATTACGCCATAAAAGAGACATTGCTTATATTTCTAATAAAATAAATTGTTACGTATTGTAATACTCCAGTAATATGATTCTCTTTTGCTTTAGTGAGGTTGATAAGAATTATACTAATACTTCAGTTGCGAATGCACATTGTTAAATTAGTTGGTTAATGCTTTTTGGAGTGAATTTATAGCAATACAACTTACATATCGTAAAATATGTTATTGTACTATATAATATTAATAAATATCGATTAACTATCGGTTCAATAGCGTTTGAAATAATCGCAACATACTATTGCATCATGAAGTAGCTGCCTAAGAACTAAATAGAGGCGACAATTATTATATTATTGATGAATACTTTAAAATAAAATTATCCGTAATAAAGTTAAGACTATTATAATTTGAAGAAAAAATAAAAACTTAAATGTTTATGTAAATACGTGATTTGATCACGAACCTTCTATTTTTGACAAATAATTTTGTTTATCAATTTGAAGTTGTTCGTACTGAGCTACATTCAATCCGGGGGCGATCATTTCTAATTTGCGTACAATAGATTCAAGCTCATTTACAGCATTTCTAGCTCGTATGTATCTCAAACAAAGCGCCGAAGACTGTTCGCTCTTGCGCCTTTGTAATGTCAGAAAACGTTCTACGGTCTGAAACACAAATAAAACAAGCTTTTACGTTACCGTTTTCTATTATTAGCGCACACTGTTCTTTGTAATGTTTTACAAAGCGTAACAAATTTAAGTTGCTTAGTATTAATTTTAATATGTCGTCAAAATAAATTTGAAGAACAAGTATAAAATATAATTGAATCGAATGTCAAAACAATATCTTGGAACTTTAAATATTGTCGTTCTCTGAAGTGTTTGTAAAGAAGTTTCAATTTAAATTTAAGAGTTTAAAAGTACCTTATCCGCTATAGGTTTACCCTTTTTAGAGTAAATTAGACCAGTGCCTGTGGTTCGCTCATAACTTTGAAGGTCGTCGAAGTTTTTCTCGGCTTGTTCTCGTTTTTTTTCGAATTCCTCTTGTACAGCGTTCAGTTTTGTTTTTATCTATCAAATAAAAGGTATGAATTTTACCTACAATATTAGTTTTATCCAACAAAATTAAAAACATTATTTACGTCTGCCATCTCAATTTCTTCTTTTTCCTTCAGTTCCTGATAAGCGAACAATTTTTGCTGGTATTTTTCTTCGAAATGCGGTGCATTTTCCAGTGGTTTCAAAACATGTTCGAGCTTTCTTTTTCTGCAAAAGATATTTTCGAGTAAAGTCTGTTCTGTAATAACCAATTAGAAGATGAGAATTATTTACCTGTAGTACTCGGCCAGTCGACGGTGCAGTAAGCTATTTTTTATTTGTAATTGATTACGGTCGAAAGCTAAGTCTCTATAAGCTTGGAGGTATTCATCCCTATTAATTGTCACTGCTGCTGAACCCACACGACGTCCAATTTGACCACTGGTATCAGATCGGTCTCTTTCACTCACTGTGTTATTAATTACAAGAAATAGTTATTTTTTGGAAGTCATTATTATATGTATATTGTAATTTTAAACAGTCCGTGTAACACTTGAATATATATATACAGGGTGACTGGTGAATTACTATCAATATTTAAGGAGAATACTCGGTACATGATTCTCATTCGAATTATGTAAAAAAAATAGGTACTTCATTTTTGACCAAATTTCCGTATAAATAAATAAGGCGTGGACACGTTCCAAGTGTTCCAAGTGTGGACGCGTGCGGCGGCGTGCTGATACAACACTACGCCGCCGCACGCGTGTGTGTGTGTGTGTGTGTATACCTAATCTGTAGGGTGTTCACACGATGCGTAATTAATAATATAACTTTTGGTTAACTTTACTTAGAAGTTTATTAATATTTATGTTATATTAATTTTTATTTTTTCATATATGATCGTCATATATCACGTCCTCAAGTATCGATAGTAATTCACCAGTCACCCTGTATATGATTTAGTATGGTGGAAAATCTGGCTTTCTTTGCTTCACACATGTCAAGTAGAAACATTGGTCAATACATTATATAATTGAAAACTTAGTTTTAGTTAAACTATTTACCCGATAATACGTATAATTGAAATTTATAGATGCATACCACTAGACACACTGGAGCTATCCTCATCACCGGTACTTTGAGGTGTTTTCTTATCTTTTCGCTTTTTGCCTTTTTTAGTCTACAAAAAAAGCAAACTCTTATAATACATAGCACACTCATAATAATATAATAAAGAGATTTGTATTGCCGTATGCAGCTACTGAAATATTTACAAAGTAATACAATTGAAAAAGCCACAAAGGTACAAGAATGAAGTTAAAAAGTTATTCAGACAGCGCAATTACATTAAAAATACTGTAAAAACCCAGTGGGTTTCCGTGAAATACAGAGCCAATGAAGTTTAGCTTTTACGAACTTGCAATAAGACCGTAATTATTCCAACCGTATCCAAAGCTAACCCTTGCATGTCGCGTAAGTCACATTAATTAAATAGAAAGGGAAAGAATGTTAACCTTACCTTAGAGTCTGCCATATCGCGTGATTAGATTGAATTACCTTTCCCTTATTGATCTGTTTAAGGCCTCAACAAAAATTATTTTAATCCATTACCCTAACAGCACATGCAACTCGTAATTGTTACTATGGTAACGGGATAACAAGTATTGATCCTCTTTCCTTTGTGACAAGTAAGATACCTTTTAGGCATAAAATAAAGTCTTATTTACAATTACTTACATTTTATAAATAAATGAGGTCATAGGTTCATACATTTATTAAAAAATATATATTTATTAATTAAATATAAAGACTTTATTTGACCGTTTTTATTTTATTTGAAGATAACAGCAAATAATTTTTTTTAGGATTCCAATAAAATTCATGTTTATATGTTGTATTAAGTTGTAGGACTGTATAAATCATAGTAAAATATAGTATATTATTCATTACTTCTTGAAATTAATCGCAAAAATAAATGTTTCGTTAGTAATCATGCCTACTAAGTAATTTAAGTGAAAATTTATTTTAATCATCCACCAACTAACTGAGTTAGTCTCTTTCCGCTAGCTAGATGATTTTCACAATTATATAAAACTAATATTTTAGGATTACTACTCGTTATTTTATAAAATGATAATTTTTATCTTGTCTGCTCGCGATCACGGTCCTGCAAAGTTGGTAACGGCATAAGTATTTAATTTTAAAATAATATGATGACTCGTAAAAGATCTCATGATTTTAAGCAATTTTCCTTTATATAATTTAATGCGATGTACTAACATTTTTACTGTAAAGAAGTATTCTGTCTTATTTGCATAATTACCCCGAAATGATTAGATGTAATCGACGGAATAAGTTGAATAAAACCTTTTTGTTGTCCTTACTTTTTTATTCAAGATTATGAATACAATTAAATTAATTTAAACCGGCATATTAAATTGTACAGTTTATAAATAACATAAGCTTGCATATAACAAGCTTATCTTCTTTTAATAATTTTGTTTGTATTTATTTTAGAATACTTTTTCATAAACAATCTTTTCTATACGCAGAAAAGAATAATTGTTGTCTAAGTTTCTTTTATCTTTTTAATAATAATTACCCGAAGTCGCATTTACAGGACATCAAAATAGACGATCTGTTAGCAGCAATCAAATATTTTATATATTATCTTAATTCACGTGTTTTTTTTTGCTCCAGCAAGTCGCTTTATTTACAGGTTTAAATGTTAATGTCTTTAGATAACAGGGTTTTATCCCATCTTTTAATTACTTTCTTATAAGATTTAGAAACACAAAGTACAATTTTAGATATCGAGGTATTGGTTCTATTTTAATTATTTTATAACATTTATCTTGTCATATTATAAAAAAATATTATTCTTTTTTATTTTATTCCTTTCAACAATAGAAATTTAAACTATTTAAAAAGGGTTTTCATTCACATATTTGACTTTTTTCAAGTTATCCCTGAATAGCGATCATAAAAAAAAATAGACTTTTTTAATTTTATAAAAGTGTACGCAAAAATAAAAGTTAATTTTTACAAGCTACGTTACTTATAAGATTTGTTAAGTTACTCGCAAGACGTTATCGACAGGAGCATTTCGAGAATAACTTTATTATTGGTTTTTACTTTTAAAACATGTTATCAAAATGTTTTTAGCTATAACATTCAATGACGTCAAATAATAGTTATATTTTAATTTTCCAGTTCCTTCAAGTGAGACCATTAAGATAATAACGATTCTCTTGTATTTACCTTCGAATAATTGATAAAAATTTTCTTTATTTCACGACAACTTCGTTTAATTTGGAGTATCTGTGTATTTGCATAAAATTATTCGTTTCATACATCACCGAAGGATGGAATTAACGAATGAATTTATGCAAATTAAATATAAAGTTTGTACATTTTTTTATTTTAACAAAATTGAGACGTACTTTTTTATACAATATCTTTAATAACTTATTTAAAAGAAATAAAGAAGTCTTCTTGTTGATATTCTTTTGTTAAAAATATATTTTTATGTATACACCGACGGGGTTTCATGTAGTGTGTAGAAGTAATAAAATTCTTTAGTATTTAATGTATTTTTGCTGACTATATTTTATTGATAACGACATAAGCCTATCATGCCATTAATATTGATATTATATAACAGGTAACTTATTTCAGAGAATACTAATGAACAATTTTATTAATGTTGTATCAATTTAGTTTAAATACTAATACAAATTAGAGGAAAATCTTTTAGGCATTTCATACATTTGATAGTTTTACAAGTTTATTTTTTATTGTTTATATATTAATCATCTGAGTTACTGTTAATTTCGTAGAAAGTTCTGAACATTTTTCGGTTGTAGTAATCAAGTAAGTAATAAAAGTTTGAAGACAAATTGTTAGTTGGCAGCTTTTGTCGGAATTCTTTAAGTGTCGAGCTATTTTTGTATACCAACGTTTATTTTAAGTCAACAATCGTAAGTCATTTATCTTTCTTGTAGCAAAAGTTATGTCTAGCAATAATCTTGTATAAGTTTAAACTCATAAATTCTATACATTTTTGGTACTTTTCGAACAATTTTATTTTCTAGACCTTTACTACTTTCATGTTTTTTAACTTATGCTACAATTTCTTCTGAATATTTTTTACTAACATTAACGTGTATCTGGATGTAATCAAAATTATAAGTATATTAAAGTTCTAATAACTTTGTATTGTATTATCAGTTATAATAACTGTGTTAAAATCACATTTGCTTAGAAATCTAAAAAAAAATAATGTTTAGTGACCATAAACAACATTTTAGATGGAAATGATTCTTGAGTGAAGGATAAAATGATTTTATAGTTTTCTGAGATTTATTAAGTTATTCACACGAGTAAAATATAAATGAGAAGTTTTATTTTATGAAGGAAAGCTGTTGAAAGTGATTTATACACGTAGTGCACTTTCATAAGTTTTTTTACTTTGCTGATGACATGATATGGGTTAATAGAAAAGTGTGAAGGAATACATTTGTTGAATTTCTGTATTTGTAGATTTATATATAAAATTAAGGTGATTATTTTGTATATCAAAAAAGGGTTAACATTTTTTATAGTTTTTTTACGGCTTATCTCCTTAAAAGAATTGATACCGGTTTCGAGCATTACGTAACTGAAATATAATCTATTTTAATTTTAGCTTAAGACAGAGTTTTGCAAATCTTTGATAAACTTTTTTATAAATGCAACATGTTAACGACAGATGTTAATTTGTAGACATTTTTATAACGATATAGAACACTTATTTAGATTTATTTGTGTAGTACTATAGAATCTTCGAATAGTAGCAAAAGCATTTAAACAGAAATCAATGGGCTAAAACGCATTTATAGGTAATAAAAGTCAGTGAAAAAATAGAACTAAAGAAACTTTCGACTGTTAACGTATAATGATCTCTTGTTTTAAAAGCTATTTATTGGTTCATTAGCATGACTGGTCTTCCTTCAACGGTTTTTTTTTTGGGACACTAACCTTTCTTTGAGGTTGGCAGTGTCACAGTCCGCGTCTGGTAGATTGCCAAATTTCCTACAATGCACGGCTTAAAATAGTCCATGAAAAGTGAGTTCAATTTTCCTTTCCTCTACTCAAATAAATTTGAACTCCTTTTTTGAATAGATTTTTATATTTGATTGAAATGCCATCCCATACTATGGAGTTAACGGTTGTTGTTCTAATAATTGTATTACTATTGAGGTTAAATAAAACGCAACATTTAAGTGGTTTTGTTTGAATATATTTTTACTGAAAAACTAAAACGAGGTACATAAGATACACATGCGAAATAAGATTGGAATAATAACATTCATGACAAAAAACATTTAGTTTTTGTTCGCACATAAAATAGCGTTCGTAACAGATAAATTATATATGTAATATAAAAATGGCATCCATCAAGAATGTAAGCAATTTCTATAAATAAGTGTATAAGAAAGATAAATCTTAAACACATGTTCAGGTCTAATATAGAATTTCTTTTTTGACGGATATCATTTAAATATTAAGAGAGCTAAATATTGTCTTCGACTTATACATAAGCTGCTAAGCATATAAATATTTGGCTTAGCTTAGCTCGAGTATACTTAAATATAACACTAAGCTCTATATACCAGGATAAAATTAATATTTTTATAAAGTAAACGCGCTCGTTTTAGCATGATTACAATAGTCCTTTTTTAAATGGGTAACAAGAATACACCTTAATACGAATTTAGATTTTTAAAACAATACACATAGAAATAAATAACACTAATTCATTCAAACACAAACAGTAGTAAAAGGGCAAAAAAATAATAATCGTGTGATTCAATTAAAAGGAGGAATATTTAACATGGAACAATATTTGTTAGCATGGATACAATATTATTTTAAGATAAAATATATAAATTGTGTTCACCTTAAGCCAATGTTTACGGAAACTTCGATTTCGTTTTAAATTAAACAGAGTATGTTGCTAAATACTTTATATTCTTTTTTCTGTATTATCCACTGTTTATTTTGAAATCAAGTTTTATGGTAAACCGAGTTCTAAACCGATCGCTTTAAATGAAGAAAAAAAACGGGAATTTATTGTGGAATTGATTTTAAAGTAGTATTTTACTAAAGAAACCGCAGTTCCTCGAAATAAAAATTTAAACTTCGATAACCGTAAATCGTGACTGAAGTCAAGGTTATTATTACGTAGAAAGTTTCCTGCTAAAAACCATTCGATTTTAATTAATTTTTGATACAAAATGATTAATTATTGATTCTCATAAATATATAAATAGATTTTTATGAGTTATAATTAAATTGATGGTATAATTTTTTCATGGTTTAATTTTTTTCTTCATCAAATATTAACATACTTGTTGATGGTTACGAAATAGTTCTAGTAAAGATATTGACTAGAAAAATACAAAGCGTGTTCTTATTTGAAATGGGAATCAAACATCATGATTTGATAAAAAAATTAATGGAACTTTAAATATTTTTATCATTTCACAAAAATATTTTGAATTTTTTTGGATGATATGCTCCCAATTTAGTTATTTTTTTCCGTTATACAACGAATTGGTCCATTTCAATATAAAAACACAAATTCTAATTATATTTGAATCGCATAAATAACACTAAACATAAGGCAAGCTGTCGTTAATCTCATAATCGTGTCACGCATCATTAAGGGACAGGAAAAAATACACCAGACTATAAGATTAACAAGGCAAAATATTCTATAGCGGATTATAATAAATATAAACCAGAGTAAACCCTAGCTTTTAAAGAAGTATATGGAAGACATTTAGATAAAATTATAAGAATATTAAGATATAAATTATTTTTACAGCTATTGGTCATTTGAGCACTTTTAAAGAGATATTTAAAGAAAAGTCCACACGATTGTAGCAGTCGTTTGAAGTTAAACTGGAAGCGTCATCGGCCAATGATAGTGGGTTCATCGGCCATGGCTAGTTCATCTGTGGCAGCTTTGTCACCTTTTCTTTTACGGGAATACCATAGAAATGAGGCCGCTGCGAAAAGATTCACTAAAACAACGAACCACGCTAGGAAGAAACTAACGTGGTAGCTGGAAAGAATGCATAATATAAATAAGTTTAAAGAAATTTTGGAGGCATATTATTACTTCTATTTAATAACTTATAAATAAGTTTTTTTTAATACTCACTAGTGGTAGGCATGTTCTGGGTAGATGTATCTCAAGTTTTTCTTCATATGATCTACCGATGTCATCATGACTTGTACAACGACTAAAGTACACGAGGCTGGCAGTAACAAGATTTCAGTTAAAAACATATAATCTATTTTTCGATCTATTTATGACAAAATTTGTTATATGTTATGATATATTTTTATTTAGTTATCCGTAAAGATTAGGAATCATCAAATATTTTAAGTAAGTATCAAATTAATTGTTACTGTAAAGTTAATTTAAACAGTATACAATATTTAAAGGAAGTGAAAACAACAATTAAAACTCGATTCCCGTAATAAAATAAACTTACTACTGATGAAATGTATGCCTGCTGCTAGTCGTTTAAACATATAGCGTGGGTTGCGGAAGGTGTATACTGAGAAGCCGCAGCCCATCGCCATTACGAACAGGCTAATGATGCCAAAAGAGATCATCGTTCGTACGTAGCCTAGAAAAATATTACATTATTTAGTTGTTTTTATCTATTTGTATATATTTCACGTTGATGTGGAATTTATGTTTTAAATAGTACCACCTGAAGCACTAAAAATTTTAAGTTTATTGCAAAGATTGAAATGTGTATTTAAATTCGTGTTATATTATTTGCTTTACCGTATTATAATACTTAGTTGAAGAGCTGTATTGAAACGCAACATAATATTTACTCAATAAAATTTTATAATCATACTAATTTATAAGCAATTGAATAGTTACGACTGAGACTCACATTTTTCTTTTTTTAGTATAGCAGAGAAAGTATGTTAATGAAAGCTACTATAGAACTTAGTTATTCTAAAACAAAATATTACATAAAAATTAATTAATTAACATGAAACTCTTTATATTTTATGTCCGACACGAATACATTTACCTAATTAAGTTTCTTAGTTTATTAACTTCATCAATAATGCTTTTTGGTAATATTTATCTTAATGATCATACTTCTTGTGAACTTTTGAATATTGCAAATATATTTATATTATTTGAAGGTATTTTCTATTTCAAATAACAAGTTACAATTTGAAATTTCGAAGATTATTTGTTTCGTACTTACTCGCTATATCAACATCGTATGCTGGATCAACTGGCTTTCCGTTCTTCATGATTGGCTGTGACAGGTAATTTGTGCAATCTGTAGCAATTTATATCCAATATAGTGACATCGGCATATTTATACGACAGTTTTGTATGTCTATAATGTTTTGAATATCATTTTCATATGGTTATGTTTAATTTATTACTCTCATTCATATTATCGACATATTAATGAGCGTAATTGTTGAAATTATAATCTGTTCGCGTAGATGTTTAACAAAACTACAAAGCTAGATGCCATTCAGCTTGTATCCCATTTATGAATGGAAAATAAAACCCATGGGATAATCGAGATTGAAAAAAAAAGTACTTTAACTATCCAGCGTAATTATATAAAGTTATATTTTGATATTTAAATGCTGATTCAGATGTCCCTTAAATAAAAATGACAACGCTCAGAAAATTTTTAGTTATAAAATCATAATACATTAAAAAGCATTTCTTTTTGGTAACATGTAATTTATTGTATCGGCAAATCTTTTTTGTTTAAATGGAAAAAATAAAATAAAATAATTCAAATTGCTCCTTTTAAATAGTTTTTACATCAGAAGCATTAACTGGCATCTTGAGAATGTTATTAATGTCACAATAAATTTAATCCATCTGTTTTAGTCCGTGACAAGAAAACAAGAAACCCTACATATGTATACAATTTTTATAAAAGAAAACATGACATTTTGTACAAAACTGAATGACAAAATATTCACGGTCCTTTATATATCAGAGACATTGTGATAACAGATTAATATTTTCACTAACCAGAAATGTATTATCACTAACAAATTCCTCATTGTTTGCTTTAACCACTGTTTATTTATTTACATTGGCATCACGCAACATATCTATACATTTAGGTCGCAGACTTGTAATGCGGTATTTTTATCGGGCACTATAAATCGCATTGTGTGGGTTGAGGTTTATTTTTTGTGTTTTCAGCTGATTTCAGTTACCGAGCTTTTCAATATCCATACATTTGTCAGTGGTGAGCTGTTGTTTATGAATTAGCATTGGCCCTGTCTAGCTAATGTGCATTAAATGGTCCATTTAATCTCGTTGTAGACGAAAATAGCTGATCATTTGAGGTTAAATTTGATATTCATTTCCAAATTGTCGCAAATAATTGTTTGCATATTTGGTAGCCACTGGGTTTTATTTCATATAATCAAAATAATTTCTCATAACTTTTTTGCAAAAAGTATTTTATATAAATTAAAGATGAAAAAATAAAATTACATTATAGTACAATTCGTAGTATTTCATTCAGTTGATTTCATCTCTAAAATACATTATTATATACATAAATCTTATATAGAAGGCGTTCAAAAAATTAAAGATTAGTTTTGAATAGATATGTAGTAATGTAATAACATTTATATTTATACATAGTTTTGTTGGAAAAGAAAATTAAAGTAAGCTTTTAATTAAAAGCTAATTGAAATATTAAATATAAAAGGTATACATTTTTTTCATGATTATAATAAGAAACATAATAATTTGTATTACAGGAAATGAAATACCGAAGTCAGAATGTCTTTAATAATGCGTTGAAAATTAATGACTATATACATATATATGTATAATTAAATTTTCTCATGTACTATATTCTTGGCAAAGGCACAAAGTGCTTCGATGAAATATATATATTGATTGTCAAACAAAAGGTGCTTATATAAGGTTTGTGTAAATCATTATATATGAAAAAGTTTTTCAAATAAGGTTTAATTAATAATTTAAAAAAGGAAGAAAATAATAAAATTTGAAAATTGCTCATATCATTCCCGTTAAAAACTAGAATTTTCATGATATTTTTAAATCTATTTTTTGTTATTATTATCACTGATTGTGAGATAATTGTAATGCAAGATGTAATTTTATTAATATGAAAATAATATTTATTAAACGCTTTTAATTTGCGAGGAACGTTATTTTATCAACCACCACAACAAAAATTAATTATCTGAATGCTTTTCATAAACTCTCAATGTTGTTAAATTTAAGTAATGCATTTAATATTAATGTATTTCTCCACCTGAACGACGAAAATTTTCGCATAAAAGCTTACAAGCAGTTGTTAAGTAAGAATAATTGAGTTGATATAAATTATGATGTATAAAAATAAATGTAAACAAAATGTGAATATGAAAATAAAAATGTAATTGAATTTTGTATCTATGTTGATTAAAAGTAGCTGAGTGAAAATTATATTTAGTACTTAAGTGGCAACTATTATTATAACTTATTCAATTGTTTTTTGATACATTATTGCTTTCAATCATTGTATCAAAGTAGATTGTTATTTAAATGGAATGATTTTGTACATACTACTTTAATATAGGTCTATATTCACAAAACTCAATGAAAAATACATAAATCAGTAGACCTATCATACACTTTGTCGGGATGTTATTGGTTTTTATCAATTACATGTTCCAGCCGCAGTTTGCGAAAGTGTTGCGGCCTATGTGATAAAAAAAACTAATAGTTGTTCATATAAAGATTGATTATTATAATAATTTTACTTCTGGATTCAAAAAATTGTTAAGGTATTTTTAACTAAAAAAAAAAACAAATAAGACTAAGAAAATGAAAATGAAGAAAAAAAAAGACTAATTTCTGACATTTTTGATGTGCGAAGCTAATAACAATTTCTTATCAAGTTTCATCTAAGTATTTATCCCCCGGAGAACATAAATCTATAAACCCTTCTTGAAGAAAATGGCCATTTTCTAGGTTTACAAAGATCGTCTATTTCCGACATCAGTCGTTTAGAGCGGTGACCATAGCTGGGATTGCTAATGGATAGTTTTTGAATGTAAGTAGGTGGTATAGCTTACGATATTATCCACGAAGAGAGCTATTTTGCAGGACTAGTTGACCTAGGATTGTCACTCATCAATATAATGTACACTGTGGGTGCTAGCACGAATACCTGAGGGATCCTAACTCTGATAGATTAACAAAAAAAGATCCTTCCCTCCGAATCCACACAACCATTCAAAAGTTATGATGAGTAAGAGCCTCTCAAATAATTAAAATTGATACAACTTGAATACCAATCCATCGAAAGTGGGGTCTTTTTGAAGTTAAGTCCCTTTTTTTAAGTCGAGAGTTCATCTTATGAAGTCTTTCCGAGAGGAAGGTCGTTACAATTAACCTATTCTGAACGACAGCCTCTACGTGCCAATGTGGTGAGGGTTTATCTGATATATACTGAAGCTACACTAGTTCTCAAAATTGAAAGTCAAAAGTCAAAAGCGGCAGTTTAATTGTCACACTAGTATTTACTATTTCTTATTCAATAACCTACTTTAATATAATAAATGTACGTTACAATGTTTGAGACTAAGCAAACTGTTTAAAAGATATCGCGGATTTTGTTGCCTTAAATATTACGTATTTATTACTTAACAAAAATCTAATTACCTCGTATTTTTTGAAGTAATTCCCATTAGATATTAATTTATTTTATTTATTAACTGTTTGATAACTTAATTTAAAAACTTTCAAAAACATCGTAGTAAAGGAGCTGTAAGAAGGTAACTGAATAAAATTGATTTTTTTTTCATAAGAAAGCGAGGAGTTCCTGCATAATTCTTTATAAAATAGTATACTAATCATATGTAAGACAAGGAAAGTTTTAATATTGAAAAACTTTCTGAATTTCTCATTTATTTTATATATAGAAGTCGTATAAAGTAAGAATTTTCATCACATTATACTATGTGTAATGTCATTGCTTTTTAATCTGTAATTTAATCATTTTTTTTGATCTGTAATGTTCTTGTTGGGATACAATTTTTTTGTATTTTTTTAACAATATTCTAATTATAACCTAAAATTTTTATAATTCAATCTTTTGAACTTTGTTTAAAATAGTGAATTTTTGTTTCATAATATGTAAACATACAAGCCAAATTAATTGTGGAGTCTGGTACACTGACTATAATTTATGAAGACGAGTGATTTATGTTACCCATAATCGCTCGAGAACAAAACACGACGACTAAATCATTCGACGACTTCTTTAAGAATGTTTAAAAGATTTAACATGTAAAAAATTATAGCAATCATCTCGAACCTTCACTACATTGAAATTATTAATTTTATTAATGTCACTAAAACCGAGGTAGTAAAATTAATGTACGTTTTGTGATCTCTTGCGCTTGAAATATTTAAGGAAATAAAATATATATGTAGGTACACGCTACTGTAACCAACCGCTCATACGTACAAATTTCACACAAAAGGTGCAAAGACATATTGATTTACCTATCCCATCCTCGTTTAAAACTGAGTATAAAATACAAATCAATGAAATACCTTATCGGAGTTATAAATATACATAATAAAAGAAAGGTTTTTTTGTATAAATAATCAAAATAAGCAAGTCTTAGTGTTTAGTACAATGTTAATTTAGACTTTATAGTTATTTAAGCAATATTATTTCACACACCAACTGCCAATATTTTTGTTGGGAGATGACGCTAATTCCGGGAAAGCATCGCACAGACACATCCATTTGTATACTGATTGAATTATATCGCCTCGTGATTATAACCTTGTTAACTGAGTAACTAACACTGAGCACGTACACCAAGTTTATTTTTTCATTCACCTTCTGTTTTAGCTCACTCGGTAACTCCATTAGCACCCGCTGGTTTAATTTTTCTTTCAAAGCTATTTTCTTTTCACAGAAATAGTAAACTAAATAAACCGCCTTTCAACTGTTAATGTTTCTTAATTTACCATAACTGCAAAATGATTCTAGTTTCATGTTTTTATAACTTCTCTATAATGATATTATAAAAAGGTAATCTATATGTCATGACTAATTTTTATTTTTAATTAAGTCTATACTCCGTGACACCAATGTTATGATAAAAGTTTTCTTAGATTTTGAAAAAAACTTGCTCATTTTACTGAAATAAAAAAAATCTTAAACTTCGGTAACAATAGCACAATAAACATAAAGACGAATTGAGAACTACTTAATTTTAGAAATCGGTTAAGAAGTAAACGATTTATATCCTATGCGCATTATCTACCTATAAATGAAATTCTCATCGATATCGGTCTAGCCGCTCTAGCGAGAAATCGAATAGTCAGAGGGAAAGACAAATAAAAGTTTAAATATCTGCAGTTTTGATCTAGGTATCCCATATCATTTCATACACATAAAAAATATATTTGCATGGATTGGAAAAGGACACTAACTTTATTTAGACATATGTAAGTATGATTCGGAAAGGGTATATTGAGATTATATTACTAAAGCGTCCTTATCAAAAAGAATTTTTTCATGTTAAAGTCATAACGAGAACTCTAAGTTCATCAAACTGTCAACTTAAATAACAAGCATAACTTCGTTAAAATGCTTGATTATATAAACCTTTCAGAAAATTGTTTCTATAATTTTAATTAAAAAACACACTCAAATGAAAACTATTATTGAAATAAGCTAAATCATTCAGTTGTCAAACAAAAAAAAACAGTCCAACGTTTCCTTTTAAACGCATACAATGTCTGAAGTTAAGTGTTAATTAAAAAGAAAATAAATCAATTTTTTATTTTCTCAATCTGTAGGTAATACTGTTATTTTTTCATAAATGTCAACAAGTCATTTTCGGACGAAAGCAGTACATATAAAAGGGGAGGATTGTTGCTTCAAGGATCATTATCATTATCATTATCATGATAATAAAAATTAACTTAAATTATGTACGTACTTGTGTAATATTCTCCTGCTATTACAGTTAGGTCAATGGGTATTGGGGTGGTGTGCACTGACGCGTTGTGCTTCAAGCTTTCAGTCGGATGGAACACATTTCGACATATTTCCCATACACCTGAATCACTCCAAAGAAAGTAATTACCTCTGGACGGCAAATAAATACCTGAAACAAGAATGTTTTTAGCATGCGAAGGAAGAGTTCTTTTTGTATAAATTTTGGTTTTTAATTTAACTTTTTGGATACAGTTTGTTACTAAAATTTATAATAGCCATCAAAATTTTTAAACAAGTTATGGATAGAGATTATTTATGACAGCATTTTAGACTATACTCGTAAACAATTACTGACTTTTAAAATTAACTTTATATTTTTAATACATGTCAATGTTCAAAGTATCATTACGTAAACACATTTTTGTAGCTCTATGTACATTTATGATTTTTTTTAGAGTTTATTCGATTATTGCTTTTTATTAATCTCAATAAACATAGGTAGTTGCAAATATTTTAGATATTTATTAAAAAAATCGTCCACAATTTAATATGCACGGCTTATTTTTTTAAAAATCCATATGTTTCGACGTTTTCGATCATATAAAACAAGTTATTTTCAACAACTGATGGCAGAAGAAATTCAATGTATGTTTTATTATTTTGAAAAGTTATAAGGTAATTTGAATGAAACCAAGCTTATCGGATACTTTCGGTTTTTTATTTCTTGTTCTCGTCAACAAGAATAACTATGGATACTTTCATTTTGTCTGCTCGTGATCACGGTGAATTGAATTGTAACTGAAACGTCGGAATTATGTAGTTAAACAATAATAAAACACTCATCGAAACCGATATGTTTAGTTTCATTTAAACGAGTACACGGAATATCTATACTAATATTATAAAGCTGAAGAGTTTATTTGTTTGTTTGAAAGCGCTAATCTCCGAAACTACTGGTTCGAATTGAATAATTCTTTTTGTGTTGGTAGTCCAGTTATCGAGGAAGGCTGTGGGCTATATAACATCACGCTACAACCAATAGGAGCAACGATATAGTGGTAAATGTGTAAAAAACGGGAGAAATTATTTCATCTTTGAAGCCTTCCGTTGCTTGCGCCGTGAAAACGGTTCAAGATACACAAAAAATATGTATTAAAGAATAATAGCTCTTTTAATGATCTAAAAAACAGTCTGCGACAGTATATGTCTATCTTTTAAGATTAACTCACAAAAACCGTTTTTATGGTACTTAATTTGGTCGAAATAATTTGTTTAAGTTGTGTCAACATAATAATATTAATCTTTATTCAAATAAACAAATAAATATGTTGTTGGTTAAGAGTACTTCATTGTAAATAAAAAAAACATAGGTTTTATCTTAAAAATTCTACGGGAACTCGACATTCCGAAAACCCCGCAAGAACGGGAACTATGTGGGAAGAACCAAAAATCTGCCGGAAGTCACTATTCCACGCTGACGAAGTCGCGGCAAAAGCTAGTCTTATATATTTTTATAAGTTAATTTAGGGTAATGTTAAAAATTGTAATAAAAAAATCATAAAGTAGCTGTTAAAAAATCTTCAACATTCGAATAATACTTTATCCCATATTAGGATCTAGATTTTTTGCAAATAGTTTGTTTTTATATAATACATTACATTCATTTTCTTAGTTTTACATGTAAACAACTGAACTTGAATCGGCTAATCGCAAATTGAAGCAATTACATGCATTGATGTGTCACTGTGCAATTTAAATTAAATAAGTGTTGCCAATTTAAAATATTCAGTGCATTATTTTTGGCACCATTCTCATATTGCTTTATTAAAGCTTAAAATAATAAATTAATAGTATAGGAAGTGAAACATTCAAAAGTATTAGATGAAATAAATATTAGGGGATTCAAAATTTTATTTATTGCTTTGAATTTCTATAATTTTAAATTTACTAATGTTATCTGTATTAGAATAACAGATGTATTGATAATGATCCGTTATTTGTGTGTTTGATTTATCTGACTTTTCTTGTATTATTGAAGTGCAGTTAAATATTTTGAGATGTTGCGATTAAAGTCCTTTGTGACTTTTTACTTCTCCAAAATAAAACAATTTTTACTAGTTACAAAAATATAGACCTTTTTCAGTTACATTGAAAAAATACTTTTTAAATTATTATGAAAAACATACCGCGGAACTAACTTTTATGCTTTTATATTTTAACAACACGTTTTTTCATTGTTTATAGTTATTTAAAATCTGATTGAAATGCAATCGATTTGCTTATTTAGCAACACGCAAGCATGACTAATTGTCATTACGATAACAATGCATAGATATTTCTTACATCTCATTGCCAAATCCGTCGGGACAACATATTCATCAATCAATCAGACTTTTAAATAGCATGACCAACATTTGACTCTTCTGTAACAAACTGTATTAAAAAATTCTATGTTAATTTATTTACATTTAGCGTATGGAAACAGAAATAGATATTCGGCCGTCGACCCGACTGCTATAAGCTTCTAATTAATAATACACCAGCTGCATTTGGAGTTATTCTATAGGCGACGATGCGTCTCCGCAGTTTACATCATATTAAAACAAAGATATCAAATTTAATACGACATATTTATAAAAACAAAGTTCAGCAAATTTAAAGAAAAAAGTTTATTAACATCAAACTACGTAATTTGACAAGATGTGGCGGACACATTAATCATTCCAAGAAATCTTTACGTTTTTAATAACACAGATACAAATATGTTGACGCTATAAAATACGACTTTTTCTTATTATCATAGGCGCTATAAAGAACAATGAGTTTGTTTTAATTCACACGACATACACATTTGACGGTGACGCAAAAAGAATCACTTTATAAAATAGTAGGTAAAGATATGATGTTATAGCGTTTTACATAACATTATATAAAGCTAAATTAATTGAAAAGTTGTTAAATCTCTAATTATAGTTTCATTTCGCAAATATATCCCAAATTCAAAGAGCAGTTTTGAAGTTTCCTCATATATTTTTTTATAATAATGACCATTTACCATCTCCTCCTGAAATGTACACCCATTTTTCTGTACAAACAGCTGTTATCCAAAGAAATGTGCAAAGGCCAACGAATACAGTGCATCCGAAGAGAATTCGTCGTTCTATTACGAGCGCCTGCATCAGTGGTCTCCTCTCAGCACCGACCGAGGAAGCCGTCGACATCTTATCAGTCTCCATACTTGTATCTGTAGAAACATAAAAAAATATGCCTTAAGTATAACATTAGTATGGAAATTGAAATACGCTTCATTTAATATAAACATATTCTGTATTGCATATGTATGAAATACGTGCTCTTTTCAAATGACCTTTGAAAATATCTTTAATTTTAAGACCCAAATTGATTTTGTTCGGTTTCATTGCTTTGAAAGAATTCTCTAAAGCAATTTCAAACTGGATAAATTTTTGGAAGGTGATGCCTCAAAGAAGGTAAAAAAAGTTAAACACTTTTCATCAAAAGCTACTTGACTTTTTCTTGGATAAACTTCAATCACTTAATTGTATAATAACTACATAAGTTTTTAACCTTGCTTCGTTAAGCTTTTCAACTGTCTGCTTCATTGTATCTATTTCATTTTAAAATTTTAATAAACTTTTTAACCTTACGATTTCAGTAAAAAAATTGTGTTAAATATATAGAAAATAAAATAACAAATACAGTATAAAGTAAAATTACAAATAGAATTGTGAATTTCAAGAACACTTCAACCTTAAATTTCAAGCAAAAACCACTCAATTAAATTGTCCTTCTGGGCTTGTTTGAAGTGACAACCAAATCTTTGTCTTAAATTGTCAAGTTACATCAGATAATAATATAACCTTCTATATATAAATAATATAATTTCCTCACTTAAAGTAATAAAATTTAGGATCAGGTTAAGATTTCAAAGTTTCTTTCGAAAAAGAAAGCAATATGAGTATAGTAAAAACTTGGTGTTTCGACTTCTTCGTTATTAAATTTAATTTACCTGTTTTCAATTTACGTAGCCTAGAATTGTCATACTTGTTTAATTGTTATGATATTAGGTAAATATTCTACTCACATAGTGCATAATATGATCCTGAAGACAACAGGGAGGTAACGAGAAATTACTATGTTTACTTCTGACAGTAGTATCGTTTTAAAAATTGTAACAAAAATGAGATATTTATGCCCTGATAATTTACTCAAAATTCTTATTAATTTGATGAAATCAATGAGCAGCGAAATTATTCTCCGCAATCATATAAATTAAAAAATCTTGAAGAAAAAAAGATAAAAATCATTTTCAATTTTGTTTTATAACTCAAATGATCATATAATTCAGAGTAATGTTATATATCATTTCTATTTCATATTTATATAAAGACATTTCCGAAGCAGTAAATATTTTATTAAATACAGCTTATATCCCTCTGGAATGTGAAAGAGCTGTTGTTTTATTTACTCACTTTGTATTCAAGGGTCGTAGGACGTCGGGACGCCTGGCGACGTCTACAATGACGCCATATTTACACAAGACTTGCTTTAGCACAAGTCTCTATAGATGTCAAACCATACTTGCCCTAAATACCTTTTAGCAAATAGAAATTTGAGTTATATATACATATATGATAATCAACCTATCATATGTTTAACTGATTCAGTTACATTGAAAATTAAAATATAACACTTGTAGATGTTAGTTTGTAAGATGTTTTGTAAGAAATAAATATGAAAAGATTCTGTAAAATAAAATGTCATCAAATCAAACTGTCATTGGAAGATTTGATGCGAATAAATAATATTTATATAAATACTAAATATATTCTTAATTTATTTTCATGTTATTTATATACAAATTTTATAAGCTTTAAAGATATATCTTAACTTATAAAAACAAAAGAAAACACAACTGAGGTTTTAAATTGTTTTTGTAAAAATATTTAGATTCAAGAATTTATCGAGGACGTAATTCATACTTTATTGTATTCTTGGAATATTTTTTTGCGATATCACGGTACAAATGCATGAAAATTTTACAGTTAACATTTTCTATATTATAATAATATATCGATCGAAATAGACTCAATTTTTTAAGTTTTAGTAATTAATTGATATATAACCATTAACTTCAGATAGTGCGCCTAGGATATATATTATAATTGTACTGTACGAATTATGTTATTGAACTCCACTTAATCATCTGGAACGATTTAAATAATTTTTATATTCATTTGGACTACTCGCCAGATGGTTTAGATTCACAAGCTAGCCCTGTAAATGACGCTGCAGTCAATATTTATGTTATTTAAAAATAATAGGCTCTCTCTCTGATTACTATGTATTGTTTTAATACAGCGTGTTAAACATATGTTTCTTTTAAAATTAGTATGTATAATATGTATGTAATCACTTTTACAGTTACATTTATTTTGATTTCCTTTTAGAACATTAACTTCTTGAACTCATCTCAAAGTATCAAATTAAAATTTTGAGTTAATTGTGAATCCAGACGGTAAAATAAGGTTTACTGTTTTGCAATTTATTCTAAATTGAACAAAGGGTGAAATCAGAATAGATGTAGCTGTAAAAGTGGTTATAAAAGCAACAATGGGCATATCCAAGTAGGGTCGTAAAATAGTGCCCAGGTGAGTATTTCTTTCGACATAAAATTCCCTACCGACAAGTACGAGTAGAAACTTCACTCAAATGTTTTCCTTAAAAGTATCATTATATTATCAGTAACAAAAACCTGTTTAATTGATGCTATATACCTCATCGTATCATGAAATTAACATTTTCCGTAAACTATGTACATATTATTTAGTGACTTAAGAATAATAAAAACTGAATTAATATTTTTATCTCCTAGTTCTAAGATGTAATATGAAGATCATAAAAATATAGTTTAACAATACCAAAAAAGTATGATAGTCATTTGCATATCGTTGGGGATAGTGCAAATCAGCGTAAATACCATTGGATAATTTCGCATATCTACATTTTAAGCAGATTATCAGAAGAAAATTTAAGCTGAAATATTTTCTAAATTAATGACTTTTAAGGTAATTTTTCACAATCAGTAATTATTTAGTGTTTTACTTATTACTAATTTTGCAAAATTATACCTTAAATATTTATCCGTACCGATGCTATAGGTATAAACGAAGGACATATGAAGTATCTTATTTATTTTTTGCCTGTTATAGACGAAAATGACGTTACCAACTTATTAACGGTAATGTAGCAAAAATGGAATCTATCCAAATCCAAAGCTTACAGAAGAAGTTTTTTTATAAATTAATGAAAAATAATTATAAATGGCTTAAAAATTCTCAAGGTTTCTCTTGTAATCAAAACAAATTCTTTTTAATAGGTTATTTATAATAATAATTTTACATTAAAAATAACAGTTCATGTATCGCGATAGCTGAGCATTGTTTCTATTTGTGGAATTTCTTTGTAATCATGTTTCTTTTAAATATTTTACTTTTGCTGTTATATTGAATTCTTCTAGAAGTGGGTTTTTCTTTACCAAACTGACATGTTGTTTGATTTTTTGAAAGTGATTCTTTGTATCGAAATAAAAAAAACATCTTAACGCATTTTAATCATTATTACTTGTTGTTTCAATAAAGCTTCTGATGTAATCAATAAAAAAAAACATCGGCCCAATAGAGTAAAGTTACGTAGCAAATGCAGATTTCCATTAATTTTAGCGAAAAATGGAAATTATTTGGAACGTAACATCTTGTTATAATTTAATCAATTAATGTTCATAATATAAAGCATCTATTATGATGAATAGAATGCATAAAAAATATACATACCAAATTTACGTATACGTAAAATGATATCACAAAGAAATAGCATTCATATGAATATAGATATAATAATGAAAACTCACCGCATTCGCTATCATGTCATGTTGTCATTCGAGGGATCAGTATAAAAATTCTCAAAAATATACTTTATACGCGAACTAAATGTATTAAAATGTTTGCATTTAAAAAATATAGACAAATGTAATAGTATGATTTACTTTGTAAGACAGTTTGTCGGTGTTCATAAAGCTGTCAAGTAGAAATGGCATGCCCGGCTAATTGTCAGTAACTTCATCAGTTTTCATTACTAATTATAGTCTACGTAGACTTAGCCATTTTACGAAAATTTTAGTTAATTTAGCCACACTGAAAGAGCTCTTAGCATGTTTGTGCTTGGATGTTACTTTTTTTAAGTGATATGAAAAACACAAAAAAAAAATAAGTATAAAAAATTTCAACAAGAACAAAATGAACAAGACAATATGGAAAAAGAAACTATTTTTTATGCTATTAGTAGTAAGATTATAACTATAATAATATTATAACAATATAATATTGAATACCGGGGTATACAACTGTTTAATTTTTTTTCAAAATATTAAGAGAATTTACTTATTATTCTCTGAAACAGCTAAGGGAAAACATTTAAAAGAGGTTTTTTTTTTCTTTAAAAGTTAAAACAATAAAATGACAAAGTAATATTTGGCAAAATATTTCAAATAATTGTAGCGCTATTTATATATTAAATATCTGTATAAAACTGTTTCAAAAGTGTTTAATTATGATTTTTACATAATATTATAAAATCAGATAGAATATATAGTACATTTACAAATAATAGACATTTCTTTTGAAGACGGTTTTTTTTCAGTATATGTGTACAAAGCTTAAAAAATTATGTTGGAAAGAAAATTTTGAAGTGCTAGTGTTCTTTGATTTTTAAATAGTGAGGATTATTTAATATAAAAAATAAAATCGGATGTTATAGAAGTGTCTACCTGAAATATGACTAATACATTAATATTCAAGTGGGTATTGCTCGTTCGCTGATAGTAACAGCTGATACGCTGACTGATAAAGCCTCTCGCTACTAGATTTATATTTATATCAATATCCCCCTTCCAATTTTCACAAAGACGTAGTTTGAAAATTTTATTAAGTTTATGATTTAACAGTTATTAAAATAATAATAATAATAATTTAACGCATTTTTAAGGGTAAATTGTATGGAGTCTTGTCAATTATTTTAGTTAACTAGAAATCAATTGATCTAAAAATAGCTAAGTATTGTGCTTATATTTATTTAATAGTTTACATTCTTATAACGAAACTCATTAATAAATTTGTTAAACTCTTGTCTTTATCATTTTTATAAAACTGTTTTTGTTTTTTAAAAATGATATATATTTCAAATAACATTCAGATGAATTGAATAACTATTCTCTATTAGCGAAAATTACTATACGTACAAACATTTTTAGACATTCTATTTATATTAAACATATTTCTGTCGATATCTTCATGCTATTTAAAGAAATAAACGTTATGAGTGAGAAATATTGTTCAGTATTGTGTAATGCCCTAAACATTTCTTTTTATTACTACCACATATTAATTTCTTTTGCTCCGAAACAACTTTTAAATCTTACGTTTCAAATCTTTATCATGACTATTGGGAAATCGACGTAAATAAATATAACATATGAATTATCAATTAAAAATAATGTAAAATATATAACACGATTTCATAATTGGCAAATAAAAAAAAAACCAATCCGAAGTCGTGGAAGCGGAATAACGATCAAGAGCTAATCTAAATATATTTAGCGTTCTGTCACTCACGTGTTACACATTCGTAGTGTAATAGTAGAGATTATTACATTTAAATAAATTGATTCAATCGACCATCAAATTGAAACTTGGCAGTGATTAAAACATTTTTATTATTTCAGTTGCTTTATATTGACACAAAATATATTAATTAGGTTATAATCTTATTTTTATTTACTCCAATTATTATAAGTTGTCGTCAATCTTCGTTGTATTAAAATCAAAATATGCTATTATTTTATATACATTTCCATTGTTTTGCTGCGTAATTGTTATGATACGGTGTTCATGAAAAGAAATATTTGTTAGCCCTAGGATTCTTTCATAAATCATTACCAATTTAAATATATTTTTTTATGAACTTTCGTTTAATATTACTATAATAGAATAAAAAGCTAATTTGATAATGGAGTAAAACAGAAAGGAGAAGGGAAAACTATCTAACAGAAATCATAGAAAAACGCAAATCAATAAACATTTGATTTGCTTGGATGTTACGTATTTTTTTATTTAATGTATATTTTTGTACCTTCCTCAAGTGTGGCTTTAAAACAATAAAAAAAAGTAATAAAATTAAGTGTAAGTGTAAAATTGATAAGGTGTTTGAAACATTAGTCGACTTTGTATGTAATTTCAAACTTATATTAAGAGGATAGCTATTCTTATTCAAACATACAAAGGATTATACAATTTGTATTGAAATGACAACACCATAAGCTCTAAATACTGTTCTCTACTGCGGACATTGTATAATTGTTAAGAATTAATTATTTTATTTAATACCTACTGCATAAAAAACTTGTAATTTTTATTGTATAAAATAAATTAATGTTTTCAAAATAAATTTTTCGCAATTATGTCAGATCCCGTTTATTTTATTACATATTAATATAAATATTTTTTAATAGCCATTTAATGTAAAATGTTGAACAAGAGTTTTTATTTTTAAAATGTTTTGAATTGATGCCTTAAAAGGCTTAATAAATTAAGATCTGGTTATTTTGCTATATTAAATTATAATCCAGGGTCTCTGTATAGACAAAATGGGTACGTGCCTAGTGAAGATTGTTTAGATATAAAACAGTAAGACGTTTCAATTATTAATTAACAGGCTCACTTGAAACCGTACTTACCTTACTTATAAGACCTTAATTAATAAATAATTATTTATTATTAAATTTTTCAATTTTCATTCATTGGTAAAGTTCAATTTTCATTTAATGGAAAGGATATTTTATGTTTTAATAATACGAATTCATTGTTTCTATTATCCAAGTTGTTTCTCAGTGAATTTTATGGTTTTGTACATTTAGATCCGTAACTTTGGGATAGTGACGAATACCTTACTAGAGAAAGTTTATAACAAACTTTGAAAAGTTCATCATCTTAACTTCAATAGTCACGGTTTTATGATACAAATTGTTAATTATTATTATTTTATTGTTTAATATAACACGGTAAAGTATTCTGTTTTTACTGAGGGAAATTTTATCAATTAATGTTTTTATATATTTCAATGTAAAAAGAAATGAATAAGAAACTAAATAAATTTAAATTTTTTAAAATTTAGATACATGATATTAAAAAAGTATAAAACCAAAAAAAAAGTATATATAAAAAACAAATAAAGAAATAATATCCGATCTTTTAATCAGGAATAGTTCAAAAAGTTTGTGCAAACCTTTTTAGGAACAGCTATGTAACTTCGATCATATTTCACATGAATTCACGGAACACTGTCACTTCTTCACTTGTTGTCAATCAGAGGACGTGCGTCCCCCGTTCAGTCGTTGTAGGACTGAGCATGAGACCACGTGGCCAGGAGCGTTTTGCGCGCGCCAGTTACCGGGCTCGCACTCACGTCTTGAGTCTATTTTGAGATAATCTGTGTTTGTTTCTTTCTCGCTTTAAATTAATAAGTATTGTCTAATATATTGCATTATATTTTTATGAAGTCTGTTTTTTTAATCTATGTGCATCCTAGCAAGGTCTTTTGGTACAGTCTTTTTATTCATATTTGCTATAACATTTTATTTTTTTTTTAATAAGAAATAATAAAAATAAGGTGCACTATTTTGTACCATCAATTTTAAATAATATTTTAAAAACTTACCAAAATTCACTTTATCAAAATAGATTCCGATAAAATTTTAAAAAACTTACGTGATGTGAAGTCAAAAAAAATGATCTCTTCAGGAATGTAATATGTTGTTGTAATGAACAACAGTTTTACTGAATAGAAATACGGTTATTTTAATTTTTGTGAGCCCTTGGATGTAGAAATACATCAAAGATAATATATATGCTGCTTATAGATGCTATATGCAAAATATGGTTTTATGGGATTAGGGTAATGAAGAAAAAGAATCATAGAGATTGTGATATAACTGGTATGTTCCTAATTTGTTTTCTGTACTTCAGGTTTCATTGCAGCACAAATTGACAAAAAGTGTCAAAAAAATTGCTTCTAAGAAAGATATGCTTCCAGCAGACTAATGATGGTGAATACACTTTCCAGGTGGTGAAAATCTCGTAACTAGGCGGTTTTTACATACCCACTGACTTTCTGTACAACTATCCAATAATTACTATTTTTATAACTTAATTAATATAGTACAATTTTTGAAATAGCTGCATAGATCAGAAGCATCTCAATGCTTGCTTTTACAGTCAAAAAGTAACAACTTTTATTGTAGCTTTTTAATATATTTTAATAATGCTATGAAAACGTTTTGCTGTAAACTGTTCTTCAGCTGTCTAAAAATTCATTTTTTAAATATTTTCTTTCAAACTTCAAAACATCTGTTTTCTCTATTCCTTTCTTCCTATTTCTATGAAAAGAAGATTCGTAACACATTTTTTTTGTAGAATCGCCATATCGTAAGATGTTTGGGTAAAATATATTTTTATTAAATAAATACTTTGAGATGTTGATAGTTTTAAAATTATTAATGATTTTGAGATTTTTTCAGCTTTAGGGAAGCCGACAAAAATCCGCCATTAGAAACGACGGATAAACTAAAAATGTATTTGATCGTCCACTGGCGTGGCATCATTACACTATTAGTCCCCCTGATAGCCATTGGTATTCTAGTACCATTTCCACCTGAGGTATTAAATACTACAAATTATTCATAAGAAAATAACACAGTGTAATAAAATATTCTCAAAAACTATTAATCAGTTTATCCAGTGTGTATTCTCAATATATTCCCAGTTAATTTGTCACAATAATTTTAATACGAATAACTTATTTCATATATATCTTTATTTAATTAGTTTGATATTAGCTGAACATTACAGTATAAGAAACTTAACAAGTACTTGAATAATTTTATTTGAAGTAACCTACCTGTTTTGTTTTCAGAAATGGCAATGGACTGCATATTGTCTTCTTGTAATGGCGATTTACTGGGTCACTGAATGCATTCCATTACCAGTGACGGCATTTTTACCAGTGATAGTATTTCCCTTCACTGGAGTAATGACTACAGCTGCCGTATGCAAGTGTTACGTTAGTGTAAGTATAATTTTGTATGTATGTGTTATAACAAAGTTTATTCACACAATTTGCAATTAAAAGGCTTATAAAAATATAGACGGCTAAATGAGTATAACTGGAATAGAAAATTTATTCTAAATAATAATATTATTTTCTTTACTCAGGATGCAGTGATAATGTTTATTGGAAGTCTTATGTTAGCAGCCTCGGTTGAGCAGTCCGGACTTCATAGGCGTATGGCTTTTGTTGCAATCCGATCAGTTGGATATTCACATCGAAAGTAATTTTTCGTTCTATGTAATTTAATCACCATAGTAACATTATATAACCTAATTATATAAAAAATGTTTACATTTTTTTATCAGAAATCGTCAATCTATATTGTTAGAAGTTTTTTAAACATATATCTTTTATAAAATTTAAGCATTACTTTAAAGACATGCACCACTACATTTTTTTTAAATGAAATTTATTGTATCAATTTAATTCCGTTAAGGTTGTTGGTAGCGATGACCATAGTAACATCATTTTGTTCAATGTGGATTACAAATACAGCCGCCACAACAATGATGATGCCCATTATATTTGCAGTATTAAAAGTATTTGAAGATGTAAGTAAATAAACATGAATATGTACGGTAAGTTAAAATATTCAAAAAATCGAGATACGTTGAATAAAATAATTTGCAAACGTTTAAATTATTTTAAAATAAAACTTAAAAAAAATTGTAATTTAAAATTAAAAAATAAATAAACTTGATTAAAAAAAGAAATAAAATTGACTTATATTTTTAAACATATTACTAATTGTTCAATTGCGTTTTTACAATATGAAGTTGATAGTTTTAAGTAGGATTGTCACTAGTTTATACGATTACAGAGAAGTGTTATAAACATTAAATGAGATTTCTTTTATAATAATATTATAATAAATAATAATAACTTTTTTATTTCAATTGACTATGACTCATATTATTGTTAGTAATACATATTTCTTATCTCCTATGTTTTTAGCAAAAACTCCTTAACGTATATGACACAGATCAGAGCGGTTCTAAAGTTGCCTCTGATATAGCTTCGTGTTATTTCTGTACTGCAACATTTGCGGCTACAATTGGTTTGTGCTTTAAGATTTTCGTTTTGAGTTTTGGTAATATAAATTTAACTTCTGTATGTCCTTAATATATAATTTAAAAAATTTTTAGGGGGCGTTGGAACTCTTATAGGAACAGGAACAAACCTAGTTTTTAAGGGTCTATTTGTCACGTAAGTTAATATCATTTTAAACATTTATTGCACTTTAAGTTATTATAATTTTTCAAACCACTATGAATTTTAAACTTATTTCAGAGAATATCCCACTGCTCCTGATTACTTATCATTTCCCTTGTTTTCCGCTTTTGGTATTCCATACATGATAGCTTTAGATATATTTATGATTCTATATATCTTAATACTTTATACTGGTTTATTCAGGTAAGAAAAATCGAACAGTGCTTAATTCTTAAGCATACGTTTTTATTATAATACTCACCATTATTTAAGGCCAAACAGTTCAGCTGCCAAGAAAACGAAAATACCAGATGTCGCTTTAAAAGCCGCTGAAGACGCTGTTGCGCGTGAATATGCTGCTTTGGGAAAAACGACTTTTTGGGAAAAAGTATCTTTCTTCATAGTATTAGAATATTTAGTCTATGACATAAATAATATATTCCTATTTGTTTTCAGGCAGTAATAGTATTATTTGGAGGTTCCATCATTTTATTCTTTTGTCGATCTCCACAAATATTTACAGGATGGGGTGATTTTATTAGTAACTACTTCGAATTAAATGACAAAAAGTTGTATGTATAAAAACTTTTGTATACGAAAATATTTTTGATTGAAATATAATTTCAATAAGTTTTATCACGTGATTCATAAAGGGTCTTTCAACAAGGACGGGTCGATGTTAAAATTGAATAAAACAAGATGTCTGTGAGATAATTATAAAATTTATGTTTTATTTGCCATTATGCATGGAATATGACATCATTTAAATATCCGCTGCGACTTATGGTGTCACGAATCCAAGGGGTCCAATTTTAAATGACTGACTATTTCCGGCTGCTTCTGAGCGATTTCCTGCGTTATGTTGACTTTCAGGGCAATGGTCGAATGTGGTTTATTGGCATAGACCTGCGACCTCAGAAAATCCCACAAGAAAAAGTCTAGCGGAGCCAAATCATACGATCTTGGTGGCCAACTTAAGTCACCTCTACGAGAGTTAACCCTACCCGCAAACCGTTCATGCAGAATGTCGATTGTTTCGTTCGCTGTAGGGCAAGTAGTGCCATCTTGCTGGAACCACATGTCGTTCACGTCCTTATTGTTCAATTTAAGCTAAAAGAATTTGTTTATCATTGATTTGTAGCGCTCTCCATTGACGATGATGGCCTCGCGAACGTCATTTTCGAAGAAATGCGGCCCAATGACGCCGCCAGACCAAAATTCTCACAAAACAGTATTTTTTTTAGATGCATTACCACCTGATGAACTTTGTGGGTTGTAGTCATCCCATATACGACAATTTGGCTTATTAACAAAACCATTCATGCAAAAATGAGCCTCGTCGCTAAAGCTTATTTATCAGCCAAAAAAGGTGTCCTCTTCCAAGCATCCTGAAGCCCATTCAGCGAACCCACGGTGTTGTGTATGGTCATTAATTTTGAAATCTTGGATCAGTTGAATCTTGTATGGATATAGACTCAAGTCCCGACGCAAAATTCTCCCAAATTTAGACTGCGAAAGGCCGAGTTCTTATCCATGGCAAGAAATCAACTGCCTCGGAGTCTCCTGAACACTCTCACGTGCAGCGGCGATGTTCTCAGCTGATCTGGCGGTTCTTTGACGTAAAGGTGTCGGTTGGTTGTTTACCGAACCAATAGTCTTAAATTTAGACACCAATCTTTGTAGAGGTAGGGCCACTACGTTTGCAGTAAAATGGACGCAACGCGCGCAACGATTGCACTAACGAACATTAATTTTGATAACAAAGTTTTATCATTTGCACATGCTGCTCAACCGTATAACTTTCCATTGTGATTTGGCATCAGTGACTGAATAAGAAAAAAAGATTTTAGAGATGGCACCGAAAAAAAATTCCACCACAGATTATTAACATCGACCAGCTCTGTTTCAAAGACCCTTTATATTTGTTTCTTGTAAAAAAATTGTTTGTTAAAAAATAATAACTTTTCCTTAAACAGCGTACGAGACTCGGCCTTAGCAGCATGTGTAGTAACTATAATGCTAATTTTTCCATCTAATCTTTTATTTTTTAAGAACTGCACTGCAAAATGTGAATAACTTTTTATACATGATTTATTGATATATCGTTATAGTGTGCTTATTTTAATTTTGTTAAAAATTTTAGTTCACGAAGACTTACCAAAAAAACCAATACGATCGGTATTGGACTGGGCTATAATGATGGCAGAACTGCCCTTCAGTTTCGTTTTCCTTCTCGGTGTGTATTACTAACACTAATTTTAACTTGATTTATTTTTAAACGCTTCCATGCTAGCCAGAATGCGAGATTTTTTTCTTTCCGCTGGTAGAACACAGAATCTATAAGTAATCAGACCTTTCCATCAAAATTTGTCTATGCTGCACATAGGATATGTCCTAATATCAATAATGCAAAATAGGACTAGACTCTTCCGCTTTTTAACTTTGGAAATCTCTGGAATTCTGAGACAATCTGTATTTATAGAATGTATGGGATAAATAATCTTTCATCAAAATCAAAGTGAAACTTAGTCAAAGTACTTAATGCGTCAGTTTTGCTGATGAAAACAACAATACTTTTATATGAGAAAACAACAATACTATTATAATATGATATTATGTAAAATGTTTTAATATAAAATTATATTAAATAATCGATCTCTAAAAAGTGCAATACATCTCTTTCAAGGTGGCGGATTCGCTTTGTCCACTGCTGCTAAATCCTCTGGCTTAAATTCGAAAATTGGAGAATGCATTCAAGGACTAAAAGTTTTACCCGATGTAATAATTGTCTTGATAATAGTGACTGTTGTTATATTAGTAACAAATTTTGCATCAAATATAGCGGTTTGTAACGTGTTTACTCCGATTTCAATGCAATTGGTAAGTATTTATCCTAGTATTTTTTTATTATGAATTATTATAGTATAGTAAACAACATTCCACACCAAGAGATATAGTTGTGACACTGTATCGTATTATGCTATAAATGTAGAGCATGATCTGCGACGGTACATTGAAGTCCGTTCTTTATAGGGATCTCCACCTTTTTAGGCCAGCCAAACTTTTAAAGACAATCTCAGAGATTTTTCTGGACTCCGATTTCGGCTCTCATTATCGTTCCTTTTGATGACCCGCTCATTATAATGAGTATCAAAACGATCGGGTACTAACCGTGCTCCAGCTAGGGAGCTGGATAAGCAAAGTATATGCGATAAATGTGATCTTAAAATATCGACGATTGATAAATGTTAAGTTTGGTTAGTTTCGGTTAATTGAAGTGAATAACTAATCCGCGACGGGGGCCGCCTGCACCGTGTAACATATCCGAGTATATAATCCCGCAACGTGCCATAACATATTTATTTTATTTATGTATTTAAAAAAAAATTACTAGTTACTTTGATTTTTTTTTATAAATTCGATAGTTTAAATATTAGTGGCGTTTCTCTTATTTAAAACATTTTTTAGGCAAGAGAAGTGAATCATAATCCCTTAATGTACTGCATTGCATCTGGTTTTGCTGCTTCTCATTGTTTTTTGTTGCCTGTGGGTACACCTGGTAATCTTATAGTGCAAAGTGCTGCAAAAGTTCCAACAGCAAAGATGGTAAATAAAAAACAAAAAAGTTTATGTATTTTTGATATGTACAAATATATGATATATACAAACATATTGCTTTAATAATTTAATATATTTGAATGCATTCATATTTAAAAAAAATATTTAAAATAGTACAAAAACTTTTATTTCGCATTAATATTTGGATTAGTAGGCTGTGACTGAAAAGAACAATCGTCTGTAATATATTCTTCTATATATTTTTTTTTATTTCTTATTTTATTAAACTAGTTATTTAAAATAGTATCAAATAAGTTTTATTTTTATGTAATTTTTTTATATTTTACTATAAACATATCAAGTTGTCATAAAATTTATATCAATTAGGTTAATACTTACACACCAATTAATAAAAAAAATATTTTTATTTTCAGGCAAAAGCTGGACTTGGACCAACCGTGACAACTATCATTATAACATGGCTTTTTGTATATTTTTATGCTCCTCTTGTGTGGCCAATTCTGAAAAATCCAAAACCAGATTGGATTGCATAAAGTTTTTAGTTTATATAGTTTTTACAAGCATTGTTATATTATGAAAGTGATTTTATATAATTAATAACAATTTACTAGTACCATTAGACCAAGTTTGCATCGCTGACTTAACGTCTGCTTTCATATTTTTCATTCATAAATCATCAGCGATAGGGATATATATAGTTCTGAAAAAAAATGATTAGATAGGCGATTGAAAAATATTTAATGTGTGTAAGGAAATTAGGGAATAAAAAAATATTATTTTATGATTAGTTATGTAATAGTTTATTTATATCACCTTAAAGTATTTTATAGTTTGTAGTAATTAGTACATTTCTATTTAAATAAACAATAATACTATTTGCAATTGGTGTAATCATTTGGTTAATTTTCCCCTAGATGGATTAAATTTTGTTCTAATTTTAATCTTTTTAAAACATTTTCTATAGTATATGTTCTGCAGCTTGGCCAATAGTTGTTCAAATGTGGTTTGGTTTCTAATAAAAAAAAGTATTTGTAGCTAAGTGAGCAAAGCGGTGATGACCACGATAACATTATCCATTAGTCGTTAGGATCTTCAGGGATATAAAAACGAAATCATATTGTTTCGTATATTGTTTATGTAAATTAGCCTTCACGTTCAGGTTATATTTGTTATACCTTTTTAAAATTAAATAAAAAACACGTTATGTTTGAAAATCTACTTTAAACAATTACTTGCGTCTGAATATGACTGATGGATAACATTAATATCGCAACAAATCTCGTCGACAAGATTAGGATCATAGGTCTTGTAACAGGGCTAAATCTAGGAGTATCAGTTTGGTCAGAAAATCTTAATACGTTTGAAAACGTTAGAAATTGTATTCTCTTTCACTAAGAAATAAAAAAACGAACAAAGAATTCAATTTAATGCTTGAGTCAAACAGATTGAACTACAAATTGATTTTATTAATAGTAGACACATTCGGTAAGTTTTATTTGCGTTATTCAATTCTTAAGGATCTAGAAGGGGTTAAGTTCATCTTTACCAATACAGTCTCACTCTTTGGCTTCACTAAACATATACTACCTAACCGTAAGCGAATGTACCAATCTACTGAATTTTTTACTTTACTTACCAAATTTGGTTGTAACATTCCTATTTTAATAACACACGAAATGCTTAATGTTAGTTGGCCGGTTGACAGAAAATAATAGAAGCTTTGGAACCGAAATATTTTGTGGTTACTGTCACCACAGCTACCTCATCCGAAAGCTATTTTATGATGTGGCTATCGAAATATCTGAAAACCCACGTGGGCCGGCAAGATATGTAAAGGTCGAGAGCTCACCAGCGGCTGATACAAAATCAAGCCCAACAAGACTTAAGTAAATCGTTAGAGGAAGACACAACGTTTTTATAATATTAATGATTTAGTTTTCGTAATTAAATATTTAGAGTTCAGGGACACTAGACTCTGATATACGTGGATCTTATCTAGTAATTCAAGTCCTATCCAATGGCTACCAGTTCAATCTTATGAGTTGTTCGTATGGGAAAACTACACAAGCAGCAGCACAGCAGCTGATTATAGGGTTGGTACCTTTGAACAGAGAGTGATGTTCTGAATCATGCACAGTTCTTGAGAGTAAATATCTAGTTACATTTAATATAATTGGTGGTAGTAAAAATTTCAAATACATGTCATGTATCGCCAACATTCTAATGCAAGAAACAGGTACATATCTTTAATTCTTATATTTTTGAAAGATTAGAGCTCTTCTTTATATTAAAACAATGTTATTAATCTTCAACTACCTGAACTATAATTATAATTTTTCCTTTGATATAGTACGGTTTAATTGTATTCAATTTTTTTTTATATCATGTCATCGGCCTGTCAGAGGCCACTGATATGCAAAGGCCTTTTCTCGCATGGAGAAAGTTTAAACATTAATCACTGCGCTTGCTCAAGACGGGTTAGTGATTTCCAACTTATAATTGGAAATTATAAATGCAAGTTTCCTCACGATGTTTCCCTTCACCGTTTGTCAGTGGTGTCTAAATACTCTTAGAAGGTACATATGACTCGGAAAGATCACATTGGTCCTTACTAGGGTCTAACCCGCTCCCCTCGTATGTGAGAGGCGGCCCTTTAACCACAAGGTCACCATTGAATGTAATTATATCATGGTTTCCATGCAATAACAGTGATATTGCTTTGTATAACTTTTACTGTAATCATTTTTAGGGATAGTTTTACTTTAAATTTAATAATTTGAATTATTTTTTAGTCCTTACTTAGTTGTTATTAACCAATTTATTGATCATAAATTGTAAGTGTTGTAAGACATATTATAAAATTATTCGGAAAATATTTTTATTCGATTATATATCAAAGGAAATGAAGTGTCCTCAGATTTAGATCTAAAATTAAAAAAATATTTTACATTAGTTGGAAACAAAACATGTTCACCTGCAAAATTCAGTTAAAATAATTAAGTGTTACCAATATTTACAAGCCCAATAATAAGTATTTAGATATTTTCTTATCACTATTATAAAAAATAAAATGAATTATCTGATATATGTAGTTAAAATATCAAAAAGAAACGATCCCACGTAGGCCGCATTTAAAAGTTCTCGGTCCTTTTTTTCATTCATTTTACAAAAATGAACTAAGTCAAATAAATATTGATATATATTTTTAAACAGAAATATCAAGGAGCTAGATTAGATTTTATCTCGCAGTTTTATTTGTTTACCTTTTTCCGACGTGTAAACTACTTTATTAAGTTACTATTGTAACTTACATTTATTTGGAAGTACTCTAACAGTTGCTAGAAGTCTGGAAATGTGGTCACGGGCATGATATTTTATATTTTAGATGAGGTATCCTTGCTGTAACACAATTACCAGCCAAGTTCTCTATTAAAATGGGGATGTTATTTAATTTCAATTGCCTGAAAGATTCTTTTCTATATCTATATTTATTTTCTTGAGTCTAATGCATGTTCATACACAAGTAGCCTCGACAAATTTGCTTTTAATATTATAAATTCTTTGCCCATGATGTCAGTGCTCTTCTTTATTTATTCAATGTCCGACAAGGACCACTAACAATCAAATTTGTGTATACCTTTATGTAAATAAATAATACCCTTAATTGGTCTGATCTCTTTGATGAGATTTATCTATTATTTCCACAGAAACGTGTTTGTAATTTTCCTCACGTATAGTAATGTGGTAGGTTATGGCTCAATTGTGGTAGGCTTGAGATGTTTCTTGTGATAAAGTGGAGGCAAAGAGATATTGTTGATGTTAAGATTATGCTTTACATGGTGCAGATTGGGCTCTTGATGTTCAGCATCGTAAAAGTGTTGGGCCCTCTGAAACAAAGAATTACCAACAGGAGTTACTGGTAAGGGTGTTGGTATGATATTCTTTTTAAATACCTATCTGTATGTGAATTTCCTAGAAACAGTTTGTCTTAGCATATTCTGATTATTTTTTCACTTTTATAGAAATTTCCCTTAAAAAGATTTGTTTAGAAACAACTGGAGTTTTATGCCATAGCCAACAAGATTTAACTTAAAAATATTATTTTATATTACTTATAATCGCTTATTACTCACAATGGCTGAATATTCAAGTGATCCTGACAATATATCTGAAAATATTGGACGAAATGAAGAAGAAGATCAGTTTTCCCCGTAAGTTAAGATTTTAGATGCACCATATTCCATTTTATTGTTGGTTGTACATAGTTGAAATTAAAAAATGGTTAATTAATTTTAATTTTAAGTGACGACGAACTGCTAACTATAAAAAAGAAATTTATTTATTATTTCTCATGTCACTGGCGGGGATTACTATGTGCATTTTTGCCCATTGTTTTAATACCTATACAGTTATCGTTTCCGCCTAAGGTAAGTGTTTTAATGCCGTAAAATTAAAAAAACAAAAATATTAGCTATTTATTTTTCTTTCATCAAAAACTAGAAATGACACAGTAATCAAAAATATCCTTGTATCCCAATATATGTTATTGGACGCATGTACTTTTCCGGAAAAGCTCAATACAATCTTTATTGATATGGTGTTTTCTCTATTTTCAAAAATTCTTAATTATTACTACTTAATTAAAGAACAAGTTCCCAGAAATGAAGATCTTAGATTTGAAGCTATTGATAGTCTAAATTTAAAGCAAGAAAAACATATCTAATATAAAAAAAATATAGTTAGGTCCTAACACATAAAATTGGCATTTTGAAAGGGACTAAAGAGAAGTCCTTTTTTTTAAATATAATGTATTTATTTAATCAAAGTATGTACCATTGCTATTTATGTACTTTTGACAAATTATAGGTAGGTCATTGATCCCTTAAAAAAACTATTCGGAAGGGAATAAGCAAGTGTTTGAAGGTGTCCTGATCTGTCCCATCCGAGTTTAATTTTTCTCTTGCAAAAGTTACCTGATGGAAAAAATGGTAGTTTGTATGGTCCGGGGAGTACGGTGGATGTCTTACACATTCCTTTTGTAACTCTACTAATTTGATAACTTTGTTGTCCTGAAGTACCAACTATCAGCCTTGGTTGTTTAACGGGTAGCCTTTATATAATGATTTGCAGTCTGGCAAAATTTAAAAAAAGTAGAAGTGAACAACACCGTCACCATCATCGTCTCACCAAAGGCTCATAGGTAACTTATTTTGAGTTAATTTTTGCTTCTGGCACGATTTGTCTGGATTATGCCGCTTATTGTATAACATCCACTTTCATAACAGGTAATGATTTGATTTAAAATCAGCAGCAATCTACGAGCTTTTATCAATTTGCTCCACTCAATTTATTAATGATCTACCTTTCAAGCTTTCTCACACCCCAATTTGTTTCAAGTGGATTCAAACAGTTTTGTAGCCTGCAATTAACTGGATCGTAGTTTGCGTAGGGTCCACTTCTACAATAGTGTTAAATTCCTCATTATTGACTCCATCCACAAAGGGAGCTAGTTTTGCTGGTTGAAAGATTCCGAACGAAAATAAAGGAACCATAAACGGATTGTACTTTCTTTTGCGACGCCACTTTCGACCCGTTTCTGCGACACTGGTGTCACAGCGGAACTTGTACTTATGAATAGCTCGATTTTCCATTTTGTAAACATATGACATCGTATAACGATAAAAATACAAAGATAGAGAAAGCATATGGATTCGGGTTTTCTAATAACAAATGTGTCATTAAATAGCTACATAAATTTAACTGAACCAACGATGAGATATTTGAAATCAAAGTGGCAAGTGCCAGAAAACGCCAATTTCATATGTAAGGACCTAATAATAAATTAGGTTCATATTTTTTTTATTATAACCTTTGAAATCTATTATTCACTTTTTAGGGATATGAGATATGTGCTTACACTCTTGAGTTGATGGCCATATTTTGGGTAACGGAATGTATTCCTCTAGCGGTTACCTCTTTTCTACCCGTTGTGATTTTCCCTCTTACGGGAATAATGAGTACAGCAGAAACTTGTGCTTGTTACATGAATGTTAGTATGATGTTAATATGAAGTTGTAAACGTATTAATCTTGTATTTTATGTTTTTTCTAAATCTTGTTTTGAGCCGAAAAAACTTGTAAACTCGATTACTGAAAGGATATTGTTTCACGTCATCTGTTCTTAAAAAACGCTACTTAAAAACGTACGTTTTAGACTTCTGTATTATGCGAATTATGCAAATATCATATAACAATAAGGCCTGGATTATTAAAATTTAAAGGTGTAAATGGCAGTGTAAATTGTTATTCTCTGATAACGATATCTGTCTGAGAGTTTAGGTTTTCTTAGGTCTTATGTTCTCTTAGGTATGTACATAGTACTTCCAGGTTTTTGAAAGCTTGTGGTACCATATTTACTGTATGATGAAGTCTTATTTTATTTGTGTAGGGTTAACCAACTATGTTCACAATTATTTATATGTTCCGGAGAGGGAAAGGGATATAATTATATAAAATATAAAATTATTAACATTTTTCAGAGCACACAGGGTCTTTAGTATGTCAATTTTGTCTCGATAATAGTCTTTATGTACATAGATACTCTTTTATAAAATCATAATCAACTGTTTGATAATACATAATTGGCTAAATATTTAGTTTTTGTTTTAAGTTAGGTATTGTTTAATACTTTTATTTTTGAGAAGGTTCTAACGGTGATTCGAGTTATGGTCTGACTACTTACTTTTATCGACTATAATAGTTAGGTACACCGTACATTGATGAAAATTAAGTCAAAAACTGTCAGTTGTTGTAGTTATTCACTTGTTGCATGCTGTGTGTTATTTCCAGATTGTGTTATCATTGAACTTATCTTAATATCACGAATGAGTGGTAGCATATTTTTTGCTAAGCTTAAATAATATATTACAATTTAATTAAATTAAGTTTTTACTTCAAAAATCATTTAAGTAGTCTAGCTTCGTCGTCGTCTAGTAAAATTAGGCGGTGGACAAATATATTACCCAATTCCAAGATCAATTGTAGTCCACAAGTATTCGCAATTACTTTTATATGAAAATTGTTAATGATGGTTACAATCACTCTCCAAACAACTATCAAAGTACCTCTACCAGTTTTTTTATATTTATAATAAAAGTTTCGAGCTCGCGACTAAAAATATAATACTTTCTTCGAAGAATTTGTTATATAATTCATTTATAATACCAAATCCGTTCATAATATCATATTTGGAATTAAGATGTTGATTTTTTACATCAGTTAAGCTCCAACAAAGTTGTAAGATATTTATGAGCTCTTTTTTTAATTCATTATATAATTCAAATAAAAAGATGTTAGGCAGACCCTGGCTAGGGCTGGGAAATTGCCAGGATGAAGAAGAAATAAAAAGATGTTGTAAAACAAAATAAAAATTGCAAACAATAGCATAATTAAATAAATAAAACATCTTGTGGAACTTAGTGATCTCAATCTAGAGACTTCAAGATTTCGAATCTGTTTAGATTAGATTAGGGATTGAAAACACGTAATTACATTAGACACAAATAATTCAATATGTACATATATATGAGGTAGAATAACTAAAGATATAAATATAAAACTATCGTATATAACTGACTTTACGCCACTTTTATGCAAATTTGTCTATATTCACGATATTTTTGATTATAAAATGATTGCAATATAGCTACAAAGTCTACTATAGAAATATTAAATTTGATTTTATTTTATTTGAGATTTTTGCCTAAATTATCTGTGTGATGATTGTGACTAAGTGACGTGACGAGACTTATATGAAGAATATTTGTAAATTAAATATTTATACATATTATAATTGAGATAATTACTAACTATTTCGATACTCACTTTTTATATATTTAATAAAATATATTTTTACGGCATTTTCAGGATTCTATTATGATGTTTCTAGCTAGCATGTGGCTTGCTTATGCAATAGAACAATCAGGATTACACATCAGATTAGCGCATCATGTCATTCGTTGTGTGGGCTATTCTCATTACAAGTAATTACATTTTCTGAGATCTAAGACTTCCGCGAGCATTCATTTAAATAAAACTAATATTTTTCGGACATTTTACGCGTGCTTCTCTGCCCGTGATCACGGTTGCTGAAAAGTAACCGAAAGGTCGGGAGTAAATAGTTTTTTACAAAAATAAAGGAAGCGTAGTATATGCGAAAAATTTTAGTTTCATTTAAATTACATTTGCTCACTTATGTTGACCTGAGTGTTTTTATTGATTTCGTTATTACATATCTTATTTTCTTTATATAGGTTATTGTTTTCTATGTCCTTTACTACAATGTTTGTCTCGATATGGATAACAAATACCGCTGCTACAACAATGATGGTGCCCATAAATTTTGCAATACTGAAAGTTTTTGAGGATGTTAGTAATTATTAAAATTAAGTATTGTGTTTTTGTGACTTATAGAGCTATGTATTTAGAATTCTTCTATTGTTAACATGTTTTTTTTAATTGTATTGTTTGTTTTTATCTTTTGCACTTTGTTTTAAGAAAAAAAAAGTTCTACTAAATTATTAGTTATACTGTAAATGAAATATGTATTATAGATATTTGTGTATAAGATTTACATACACCCAAGACACGAAGCAGCAAGATGTGTATTGAAACTTTTAACTTTGAACTTTTTCATATAATATTTTGAGAATTACTATTATAAATTTGGTAGCTGAAGTTATGATATTCTCTATGGTCAACAATGAATGAAAATGCAATGACGGATATCTTTTAGTTACAGATGAATTGTAAATTTATGTATTATTTAAGGAATACAATATTGTTACTAAAAAGTAAATGTGTCTCCTGTAAAGTATTTGAGGATTTTGGAAAGTATTTAAAAAGTCACGAATGTTGTATATCATAAAGAAAATAGTAATTATTTTCTTATATTTAATTCCTTGTTTACTATTTGATAACAATAATATGTTTTATACATGGGTTGTGTTGGTTTACGTAACAAAACAATCATTTTAAACAATACTTTTATCAAAATTATTATTTTTTCAGCAAAATTTACTTCAAATTTATGAAGAAGGGTCTCATGGGGAGAAAGTAGCATCAGATATTGCAACTTGCTATTTCTGTGCTGCTACTTTATCAGCAAGTATAGGTTTGTGTAAAGTACTTAGTATATTTAAATAGACTATTATAATTAAAATAAATAAATTGCTTTTCATGATGCAATTATATACAATATATAAAAGTTATATTAAATTAACAAATATTCAGAGCAATTAACAAAATATCCTATGCAGAAGAATAATTTCACAAGATTTGTATTTTCTTAAATTTAAGGTGGAATTGGATCTTTAGTGGGAACCGCTACTAACTTGGTTTTTAAGGAACTATTTACAAGGTATAATTTTTTTCAAAAAAAAAATTATGAATAATTTAAAAAAGCGGTCAGTTTTTGGAACTACGCAATGCCAGTGCGGATTTTGCTGTTTGGTATCGTTTTTTTTTAAAACTAAAATTTTGCTGTCTATTTTGATATGGATTGGCACAAAATTGCTGTATTTTTATATACCAGGTGATTCCCTTATTGAGCACAGCATTAGATATTTATTTCAGTTATTCATTTACAGCAATACTGGATCACCTTCGCAAAGCTTAGCCCATATGTTATACCACTCAAGTAATAAGTGTGATCACTGAAAGGAAATTATGAAATAGGGAGTCTTATGGACAGTATTTTATAAAAACGTATTTTTGTTGTTTTTAATTGAGATATTTCCTTTTTTTAGTAAACTTTATTGAATATTAAAAGTTTAAAAGGCTGTCAATATTCATAATCTTTAGTTCGAAGTCTAGGGTAACTTAATTCTGCTGTTACTTGATGCGGGATGATTGCATTTATTTTTAATAATAATTTTAGTAATTTTGTAATTTTTTCAATAGAAGATGCTTTAATATTAAATAATAAAGTAAACATTTGCTGTCACAAAATTAGATCTCGTCGTATAAAGACCTGCTTCAGTGTGTCAACTTTACCGTTCACTTATCACCTTTAGACCCAGTTTCACCAATCAATGTTAAATAAGTGACAGCTTGTTAAGGCGTTGGATGGTCTTTTAGATATATCGAGTATCCCACCATGCACAAATGTCTGTTTAAATGTCTTAATAAGCCACTAATTGTCCAATCACAGCCCAGATTTTTTGTAACTATAGTAACGTCACCTGTTTTGTCAGTTTCGACTATTTCCTTGTACTTATTAATAAAGTAAATTAATATTTTGTTTCCTATGATGATTTTGCCTCCAGCTTTTTTAACATTGCAAATTAAGTTTTCTTTATAACTCTTATAATTTGAACACAATTTATGCCTTTATTTATAAAACAATAATATATAACACAATTTATTGACAATACGATTTTGACAAGTTACACCTAGTAAATTTAAAAGAAAGCTTTTTGTGTGCAAAATGTATGCAACCAAAGATATATAAAATGAGGTCGCATTAACTTACTTGTAAGTATCGAGGGATATATACGATCAAATAGAAGTGGTACATCACGGCAAACGTGTCGTGTTAAACGCTATAGTTTCCATTTGGTCGTCTTATAACAAGAACGAATAATTTGGTAGTCGGTCATTTAACATGACATTTAATAACTCGTTGTTAATTTTTGTTCGTGGGACGTAAATATTTTAATAAGACAATTATATTTTTGAAGGTTTGTTAGTAGATGCTTTGTTTAGATTTAACAAACATTGATTGGTGAAACTGGGTTTTAGGCCCAATTTCACTAAACTCTGTTTGTTATATCTAAACGGTTCATTTCCTACACACATACATACATTTGGCACACAAAAAGCTTTCTTTTCTATTACTAGGTGTTACCTGTCAAAATTGTGTGGTCAATAAATTGTGTTATACATTATTGTGTTATAATTTATAAATATAGGCATAAATTATGTTCAAGTTATAAGAGATGAAAAGAAAACTTAATTTGCAATGTCATAGAAAAGCTGGGGGCAAAATCATCATATGAAAAGGAAATTTTAATTCATCTTTTTAACAAATACAACTGGGTCTTGTAATATAAAATCATTACTTCATTCCATCTAAGATATGTAAAAAGATATATAAAATTTTCTATTACACCAAGAGCTTTTATTATATTATTCTACATTATTTCCCGACGTTGAAGTTTTCATCTCGTCTGTCCGTGATCACAGTTTCATTAAAAAAACATTTGTATATAAATGAATCATTTTATAATAAAAGTTAACATCACAATTTTCAGACTTTACCCAGATGCTCCAGAATATTTGTCATTTCCAAAATTTTCGGCCTTTACAATACCTTTTATGGTGATAATGGAATTATTTTGCTATTTATATCTTATCGTCGTCTATTTTGGATACTTGAGGTAATTTAATAATTAGTATATAATTCAAATATTAAGTAATCAACTTTTATACTTTAACGTAATTGTTAAGACTTACCATAATCAAATGATAGATTCATCTCAGCTATAACAAATTAACGCTACAGAGTAGTGGTTATACGAACAGTTATTGTAAAGAAAAAGATTCGCACAGAAGAAAAGCATAAAAGAATAAAACTAAGAATGGTTTTTTATTCAGTTTTTGGAATTACTAGAAAACCAGTTGTTAATTTAGTTATTACAACTTTTATTTTAGTTTTCAGTGAAAGAAAAAGGTAAAAAAATTATATTTACTTGAAGTTGTAATTTATATCAAACACTTTTATGAATCTTTTAAAAAATATTATTATAAATTGCTTCTGGTTTTATGTATTTAGTAAACGAGTAAGATAAATTCGAAATTTACCTACAAAATTCAATAATAATTAATTTCAGGCCAAAAAGTAAAGCCGCAAGGAATGCAGAAATTACCGAATCGGGAATGGAAGCAGCGAAACAAGCTGTTGAAGAAAAAATTAAAGAAATAGGTTCAATAACTATGTGGGAAATTGTAAGTTTAGAATGTTTTAAACCTTAATTGGATATCTTCAATCAAAAGTATTACAAGAAAAGTATTTTTATTACTTTTGTTGTGACAAACGATCTTTATGCCTATTCTCTTAATTTCTCGTTAGATGGACACTATCGATGATACATATTACTTATTTCTTACACTATTATTAACCTTACAATCATATATCGTAACTATTTAATGTGTCATGTTTTTTAAGCCTTTTCTTAGCCATCCCAGGCTCAGCCCGCATCATATACTATTGTTATATGCTAGTATTTTTTTATTCAGTAATTATATTTAAGAATTTTACTCGAATTGTTTAAATTTATATTTATGCAAAATGTTATAATTTATCGAATATGTCAGTTTTTTTAATTTCAAAATACACATGCATCTTTCAACAAGAAGCCATTTAAAGTTATGTAAAAATTAACCAAATACGTAACATAATATGTATCATATTTAATAAAAAGGTAAACTTACGGAATACTTACTTTTTGATTGTTCGAATATCTCTTTTTAGTTTGTCTTGATACTCTTTACCGGAGCAATACTGTTATTCTTTTCCCGTTCACCTCAAATTTTTGTCGGTTGGGGAGATGCTATTTCCAATTCTTTTGGGATTAAAGATGTAAAGTTGTAAGTACTTATTAAATGCTTTACAAATATTTTGTACCTTAAATTTAATACTTACTAATTGTTTCAGCGTCCGAGACTCAGCAGCTGCTGTTTTGGTAGTGTTTTTGATGCTGCTCATTCCGTCATCATTGAAGTTTTTTGACAATTTTAGGGCAAAAAGTAAATTTACTCTCTTTGAAAAATTTTCATCCTTATGAAGAATAAGAATATTTTATTTTCATTTCAGCATATGAAGAATTTCCGGACAAACAATTACCATCAGTACTTCTTTGGGATAAAATGAATGAAGTAATGCCTTATAGCTTTATGTTTTTGTTAGGCAAGTATAAAGTTTGATATTATTTTGACGAAAAAAACCTACTTTTTAAAATCACCAATCGCTTAATAGGGTTTTGTTTCCATAAGCATTCTGTGAATGAATAAAAAAAAATATTGTGCAGAGTCTGTCTGTGTGGAAGCAGTAAAACTTCGTAATGAAATGAAAATAAATATTGTTTCTTTGTATTCTTTCTATTTTCTACTTTCGCTCCGTCTTTTTCTAATCTCCCCTTTCTAGGAGGAACTTTGTTGAAAGCCGCATTAGAAATTTCACTTCAATAACTACCTTTGTAAATCATAATGAGTTTTAAAAAGATATAATAGATAACTAAAATAGTAAGCACTAATAAATGAGTAAAAAAATATTATACCGATGTATTTGTCTCATATAGGTGGTGGTTTCGCTCTTTCTAAAGCTGCAAAAAGTGACTATACCGATCTCAATGGAAAAATAGGAAAAATTCTAAAGAACTTTAGATATCTGCCCAATCCATTAGTACTTTTGTTAATAATTATCGTAACTGTATTTATAACAAACTTTGCTTCAAATGTTGCAGTTTGTAATGTCATAGTGCCGATTGCAATGCAGCTGGTAAGTTACAATTCGGAAAATATCTACATTACGTATTGAAAGATTATACTTTTACAAACAATAGTTTATAAATTAGAACAAAAAGGGAAAACAATAAAAAGAAAAATACAAAGTATTTCATATCAAGCATTAATAACAACTTCTGTAATATCATACTCTATACAAATTATAGTTAAAAGATAGGAAAGCATCCGTTTCTCCCTAGGTTTGTTGCAGATGCTGATTGTCAACATTAATTGCTATATGCAGTCCTTCTGTTCTTTTGATTTATATATATTATATTTTTAAAATTATAGGCAAGGGAAATTAATAGAAATCCGCTTTGGTACAATCTTGCCGCTGGTTTATCTTCATCTTATGCATTCTGTGTGCCCGTCGGGACGCCAGGGAATCTCATAGTTCAAGGAGCGGCAAATATACCAACATCAAAAATGGTAAAAATAGGAAATTTTCTTAATTATATTGTTACTAATCATACTTTAACGTTAATTCATTAACATAAAATACCTAATTATGAACATTCTTTCAGATAAAGGCAGGTATTGGAGTTTCGTTTTCAAGTATCTTTGTAACATGGTTAGCCGTTTGTTTTTGGGCACCAATAATATGGCCTGACTTATCGACATAATGTTGATAAATAAAAAAATCGTGATATAATGCAATTTTAATATTTTCATATAAAATGATAAACAAAAACAGTCTTATTACTTTAAAATAGTCCTATGTAGTAGACAATATTATTGTGATAAAACTAAGGGCTTTAACTTCTAAGCAACTAAATATCCTATTGGTTAACTACGGAGGAGGAGGCGCAGCAGTAGTAGTTTCTGCAGTTCCTGCAGTTCCAATTTGGTAAACGGGTATTCCTTTATAATCCGGGTCAAAAATTATTGGAGCGTAAAAGCACAAAGCAAGCCATAAAATAATCATGCAAATAATAGCACTACCAATCCCATATTTCACCTGAAAAAGAAATAATCAAAACACTACACTTATTTTAAAGTAAAAATCATACATCTCTTTTTTATTCATTGAGTACAAAAAAGTACCAATGGAATTTCTGGTCATTAATGTTTTATCTAAAATTAAATACTATTTTATTATTATACAATTATTTTGCTTCACCATTCTTGTGTGCCAATGTATAAGTTATGTTATAGTATGTAATTACCATTTTCTTCTGAGGTACCTTCCCTGTATGATGGCAAAAATATGCGGGAGTGAAATAGAATGGGCTAACAAAACCGAATGATGTTCCAATGCCAACACCTAGTGTCCCCAGATACAATCGTTTTTGCCATGCTTCTGATACACCTTCCCCTGCCTTCAAATATATACTTAAATTTGTTAATTTGCTACTTTTCTCTTTATATTTAAGTAAGCAAATACTAACCATATTTAAAACAAACGGCAAAAAAGTGCAACAAGCAGCTATGCCAGTCATGATGTTCGCAAGTAGTACTGATATCAAGCAGACAATAAAAATTGAAGAATTCCATGATTTATTTGTTATAAACGTGCCGTAGTCCGTAGTTACTGCTTTTGTAAGACCGGTCACTTTTATTGCTGTGTTTAATGCCACTGCTCCACCTAAAAAAATATATTATTCATGGTCCTTAAAGTATCTTAAAGTTAAAAAGCAATAACATTCTAATAAACTTTTATACGCGAAGCTACATATTAAATATAGTTATCATGCTTAAATTGCTGATATTTTCTTTTTACATAATACTCCTCTCTGCTTTAAACTTGCTGTCAGAAACCAATTATTAAATATGTGATAGGTATGTAATTATGCATATAAATCACGTCTCAGGTCGTTCTGGATTACATTAGTAAGCATCAAGTCATACTGACTGGCACACACTGGTGTTTAGTTTTATTTCTATGTATTTTTTTTTCATAATGCCCATTGAAAAGTTGTGTCTATTGTTTCATATACTCTAACTTTTTTATATCTAACCATACTGTGAACTAAAATTGGTCATTATTACAACGTTTATGTGTCAAGTATTTATGATTATATATTCTCATTAATAATATTTATTATCCTTGATTTGTTAGTCAAAAATAAATTACCTAGTAGTATAATGTAACCATAGTAGGTATTTTTGTCCACAAACTTCCACCACAAAATGGAGGACTCGGGCTTTAAATTTTTCAAGTCAGATTTTTCTGAAAAAGTATGGAAGTGAAAAAGTTATTAAAAAAATATTAAGGGAGTGCTTATAGTTGGTGAATTAATAAAGTTTTCCAAATAGCTTTACAAGTTTTACTTGTGATTTCCAAATGAATTTTTTAATGAAACGTTACAAAAACCAGAATTCACAGATTGATTGAAATCATGAAAGTAAAAATGTATAGTGATATTTTATATACAAATACCTACTTTGGGCATTTATGTATTTTAAAAAGTTATGCGATCGTGGCAAAATGCTGAGGGCCACTATAAATAGGGCAGCAACCGTAGCATCTTTTATCCTGTAAAATTTAATAATTTTTATTTAAATAGGAATTCGCAATTGTTAATAGTGTGCTGTAAATTTCTGTATATAAATAAAATGTAGAAAATAGGACAAAATATGTAGAAAATATGTATGCATAAAAATATTTTTTTAACATTACTGTGGTGCTCCAGGCATGTTGGTATTGAAAGTCGCCCAACCGAAGTTTAACCATTCACTCCATCGAAATAAGCATGCTATCAAGAACAATACATAAAAAAAGGCAGTTTCCTAAAAGAAAAACCAACATTTATAGTTCAAAATATATGAGCAAATGAATCTCAATCTTAGTTACAGTCATATATATTTTTTCGTTTTTTTTTTTTACTGGATCTTAACCTATATTAATATTTCATAGAATGTGTCAAAATACCATTTCAAAGCAGCTTCTGGGTGGCAAGGCATTTTGTTGTTTTACTAAAAAATTTCTCATTTCTGTCATGCTGTTTGCACTCATCGCTTTACCAATTACACTAAAATCACAATTTATATTCATGTAGTCATATCTTGATTTATTCATATATTAAATAATGAATAGTAAATATCCTACGCGATAACGGTATTACAAGTTAACTATGTAGGTGAACTTAAAATTAAAAAAAAAACTATTATTTTATATAGCATTCTTTCATTTGTGCCTAGTTTTTGCCAAACCTAAAAAAACTATTATAGTCCCAGTGTCTGAAAATCTGACGTAAAATAAAAGTTGGTTGGCTGACATCGGATGTAAAAGAAAAATATTTGATATAGTTTAAGTGTTAACCAGTACTTGCCAGTTAATAAGCATCATGTGGTACAAAAAGTTGAAAATAAACATTAGAAATGCCACAGGAAAGGCAAAGCACGTATATGACAAATAGTTAAAAATATCTGCATACTCCTCGTTCGCAGCGACATTTCTGTAGAAAATATTTGGTTTAATAAAAACCCTCTCTTCAAATAAACATGATATTAATAGTTATAATACTTACGAAGACCAAATGGCTCTCATAGCTATAGGGGTCAAAGCTGCATGGATGATGGTAATACTTCCTAAGTGGCATATAATGAAATTCTATAAAATAAAGGATGTAACAGATATATTTTAAGAGATACATTTTAATAGGAGAAGTCTAAATAACACATTTATCAGCTTTGGACCTGATGCACTACACCGTATAATACCTAAGAAAGAAAAAGGTTATAGCCTTAGCATTAATGTTAGTCAACTTTTCAGGGGGTTCATATTAGGGTTGTTACGGTTGAAAAAATCAACATGCAGATTATATATTAGAGGGCCACATTCGCGGATCCAGATTTATGTAATATTTGAAAATATACCAATTTCAAGTCAAATTTGCTCAGCTGAAATTTAATTGCGTTTGACATGTAACGTTGTTTAAATTGTTTAAAGTTCATTTTTTTAGGGGGTTGTTATTATTTTGACTGTTTATAAATAAACGGAAATCGTTTTAATTTCAATATAATTTATTAAATCGGGCTTTGAGATCAAAGATTACTCCTAATTTAAGTCTAGAGTATTGTATTGTAATAATAAAATTTATTAATTAATCAGAATTAAAAATGGGTGCTTTATATTTTACAAACAGTAATTTAGCCACTTTCTCAGCTTCCAATCTGTTTTGTAGCGGAAAATTAATCAACCCAGTCCCACTTAATGTTTGTTCACTAGGAACACTAGCCAGTGGAGTTAATAAATAACTACATGCGGTGTTAACGCGATTAACTTTCTAATAATTAAATTTGATTTTCTACCTATATGAACCCCATAAAGAAAGAGGTAAACATGTCAACAAAACTCATTCCATCATGATTATTTAAAAACGATCAGCTGGTTACTACTAGTGAAAAGGCAAGACGAAACTTCTTCGCATTCTATAAATCCCCCGAGCGGCTGCGGGGTCCATCGCGTTGCAGTAAAAGGAGTTTCAACAGTCCCTGGGATTTGCGACTCAGATATAGATATAAGATGCCCCTATCTGATGGTCGTTAAACGCTCACCTCAACCATCCAAGCTCCTCTATCTACTCAACCAAATTTTTGTTCCTGCTCGGCGAATATCTTATAATGAACAATTCCATATCTAAGAGTAATATGACTACTCGGAGACTTAATTGGGAGATAAAGAATCTGTCGCTGCGCTAGGCAGATGGGTGAGTGATAGTATTTACTGGATCCTTTCTATGATGACATTTATAGGGTCTTTCACTGTCTATGATGACCTAACGGGCAGCAACATTGCTGCCCGTTAGGTTTGGTATTTGCTAGTTCTAACATTTATATGGATATGCTTCCATAAAATGCGTTACCAGAAATGCGACATGACAAGATGAGGTCAACAATAACGGATGTAAGCAATTACATGATTCACCTTTATTTTATATTTTAATGTTTAGTTGGATTTTTTTTTAAATTTCTTAACGTAATCCCGAATTAGTTTTTCACTTTTAGCCGTTAGCGTTTACCGAACCCGTGCTTTTTTTAATTTAAAAGAATAGTATATTATTCTGATTATTTTCTTACTTGAGTCCTCAAGATTTAATAACTTTTTCAAACACACTTATAACCATCAGATAAAACAATTACTAGAGAAAGTAGACTGGTAGACATCAGGACTGACCTGCGATAAATCAGAACAATCGCGGTATCACTCAATAATGTTAGAAAAGAAGACATCACAGTCACTAAAGATTTTTTTTAAACTGCGTAAAAAAACTACTTATTTTTAGGCATATTCTTTAAGGTAGCAAACGGGTGGTGAAAAAAGAAGGGTGATGCTATCTTACGGGATCGTGAATCCAATTAATAAAAATTATATTTTCTTTCCATTCCTTACATTATAAAATTGTAATTCAACTCAACCCATTCATAGGGTGAGTGAAGTGAAATTATTGTATAACTTGAGTTTTATCTTATACGCGTTTAGTGAAAAAGTATCACGCTTATAGAATTTCGGAACATACTCATTAAATTTTAATTTTAATTTCGATGTGTTCTTCCAAAAAATAATAAGATTATAATGATTAAAAAAACTTTCATAAAAAATTTCATAGACACTGATTAGATATAATTTTATTATCCTACCAACGAGTTCTTCTTACCTATTGCTGAAGAAGTTTGAACAGCGTTTAGGATAATATATCTCATTTCATCATAGTTTGGCTCTTCTTTTCTATTTTTTGAAGTCAAAGACTGTAAAGTATGAAAAACAACTGAATGACCGTAGTTGGCTTTAAAAATGTATTATTCTTTGCTAGTCAAACTTTTTATTATAAACATGGCACGAAGGAGTTTCACACATAAAAAACTTAAATATGTTTAATATTTAAACAAGCTCATTGAAACGCTAACAATAATTGATGGTAAAATATTTACCTGTAAATTCATTAAAGCTGGTGTCAAAAATTGAATAATGGTTGAAGTAGTAATTAGTCTGTTAGAAAACATGGAAAGAAAAAATGCCGCCGTGCAAGCTTTAAATATGATTCTGAAAACAGAAAACATTTTTAGATACATAAAAAAAGAAACAGTGATATATAAAATCTGTTACCTTTTTCCTGCAAATTGACAGTTGTCTCCAGAACATAATAGCCATAATATAAGTCGACGATCCAAACCGGAGGAGTTCAGTAACATTTGCATCATTCCGGCAAGGACAAATAAGCAAACACTATCCTAAAAGTATTTTAAATATAAAAATAACTATTTACTTAGAAACCTGTTGCCTTTTGTTCAGTGTTTAACAACCAAATTTATAGTTAGATATCATTTAAAACTTACCATCCATCCAAAAATTATCAAGCGCAAAAAAAAGAAAAATCTTAATATTAAACTTTGTAGATGCAAAATTTTACTATATAAATATGTTTACAAAAGGAATGTCTGCTCCAGTAGATGACATGTATTTGTCTAAACTAAACCTTTTTAGAATTCGATTGCGGTAGGTAAGGAGAAAGTACCAAATGCAGTCGACATGTGTCTGATCACATTGGTAAAATATAACACAACTTTGTATTTTTTCCCAATTTTAAACCACACAAAACATTCAGCTATCACCCTAGTAGATAACTTAAGGTTTAAAGGAAATCATTAATCGTCTTGTGAAACGATTCCCTTTCAAACACTCTAGGAGTGAGTGTATTGGTAACATAGTTCAGTTGAGTTGATTTCCAGGTAATGTTAGCTTTCCATAGGAAAGGCCAATTTTGTTTTATATATATTAAAGACGGAAAACGAGCAGAAGGCCTATTTGGCGGAAGGTAGTCACTGTCACCTATGGATATCTGCAACATGTGGGAAGTTGCACATGCGTTGCCTTACACTTGTGATGGACTCAGTTTAAAAAGAAGTAAGCTAATAGTTAATATTCAATAATAATTATTCACAAGTAACTTTTGTACCACGATACCTATTTCTAAGATTGATGCAAGTGGATACCAATGATGCTAGCTTATGAATATCAAGGCTACATTGGATAAGATTTC